ATGCATCGGCGACGCTGGCGATGCATCGGCGCCGTCGACGATGGGACAATCGAGCCCCACCTCAGGCAGCATCGCCGATGCGTCGCCGATGCGGCGCGCTCCTGCGACCCCAGCTGCTCCGACCCCACCTGAGAGGCCCAAGACTCTGGACCTCGCGAGCGGCGCCCGCGAGGGCCGCGGGGGCGCACCTGGAGGCCCTGGGGGCGGGGGCACCCTGAGCCAGGAGCACACCTGACCACACCAGGCTCCTGTGGGACCTGGGGCTCTCGGACGACCTCTGGGAAGTCCCCCGGAGGCACTCGCGGGGGACCTCCCAGGGCCTTCCATGGGAGGAGGAAGGACGAACACTGCCGCCCCCCCCGCTGCAGTTCTCTCCCTGCGGTGGCGGTGTCCACGCCGACGTGGCCGAGATACGAGGAGAACTGCAGGGAAGGCAGAAGAAGAAATGCTGGCTCTTCGCCTCCTCCTCCTCCTCCTCCTCCTCCTCCTCCTCCTCCTCCTCCTCCTCCCCCTCCCACTCCCCCTCCCCCTCGCCCTCCTCCCCCTCCTCCCCCTTCCTCCCCCTTCCGCCCCCTCCTCCTGCACCTCCTCCTCATCCTGCCCCCTCCTTCATCCTCACCCTCATCCTCCACCCTATGGGGCGCTGTGCCGCCCCACACACTTTGAGCAGGGACCGGCCATCCCAACATTCCTGTAGGCCGACCTCGAAATGTCTGTAGAACTAGGACATCGTTCTAAGAACAAAAAACAGTGTCCTTAGAGCATGAAGCCGATGTATCAAAACAAGACAGTCTCGGTCAGACATGTTCTAATACCATGTCGTGCAAACCTAAATGGGCCCATCGGCATGCCAGAACGCTTCGCCACTGCTTGAACACAGCTCGCGTTCGGAAGCCAGTAACTATGCACAACCACTGGTTCAGGCCGGGGATGACGGCTGCGAGTAGCAACAGGTTTCCAAGGCATACCCAACGTCCCCGTCTGCGAGACCCAGAGGCATGGGCAACCCGTCGCCCTCCAGCGTGAAGCGCCCCGCGCAGGTCTGCGAGTGACAGTGACTACCCATTGGGGCAGATAGAGGAGGACAGAGTGGAGGAGGATGCGGAGGAGAGGGAGACGGCAGAGGAGGATGGGGAGGAGGAGGAGGTGGAGGAGGAGGAGGAGGCCAGACGGAGGAGGAGGGGGGGGACGACGACGACGACGACGACGACGACGACGAGAATGGAGGAGCCCGGCGATGACGCCTCGCATCGAGTGGAAGACAATTTTGCGCTGGGCGAGGCTGGCCGCTCACCAGCCCTTGCCGTACGGCGCGTAGCCGCCCTTGCCGCCCTTGTCCTTGCCCTTCCCCTTCCCCTTGCCGCCGCCGCCTCCGCCGCCGGAATTCACGTTCACGGCCTTGTACTTGCCCTTGCGGTCGTCGTACTCCGCGTCGTAGGACACGGAGTCGCCCTGCTGGCAGTCGTTCAGCGCGGGGTTCTCCTTCACGTGCGCGAACACGTCCTCGCTGCCGTCGTCGGGGGTGATGAAGCCGAAGCCCTTCTCCTCGAAGAAGTTCTTGAGGGTGCCGCGGCTCGACATGGCTCCAGCGAGTGCCTGCACTGGGGGCTTGAGGCCAAAAATACGCGAGCCAAACTGACTGCACTGAGGAGCGGGATATCGGTCTGCAGACCCAGGTCTTGGGGGACGCCCCACTCCGCGCAGCGACACAATCCTCCTCCTCCTCCTCCGCCTCCTCCTCTTCTTATTATTCTGAGTTTTATTCACACGACTACTATTATTATAAGTGTTATTCTTCTCAATACGCATATGATGAGTATTACTATTCGTAATATTGTTCTCATTATACGTCATAGTACGATTCGTCTTATTCGTATGATTATTAACACTCTTATTCGTATCATCGTCATTGTCAGTGACATGATTATTGCTATGAATATTCGTCGCATTCGCATTCTTATCTGTAGCATTACTATTCGTATCAGTACTCGTCTTCTTATTCCTCTATTTGTATCATTCATATTCGTCTTCTTCGCCGTTTTCGTACTTTTGTTTTCCGTATGATTATTCGAATTTGTTTTCTTACTCCTCCTGCTTCTCCTCCTCCTCCTGGCCCTCTTCCTGCTCCTCCTCCTCCTCCTCCTCCTCCTCCTCCTCCCCCTCCCCTTCCCCCATCCACCTCCTACTCTCCCTCCTCCTCCCTCCCTCCTCCTCCTCCTCCTCCCTCTCTCCTCCTCCTCCCCCTCGACCTCCTCCTCTCCCTCCTCCTCCTCTTCCACATCCTCCTCCACATCCTCCTCCCTTTCCTCCTCCTCCTCCTCCTTCTCTTCCTCCTCCGCCTCCTCCTCCTCCTCCTCCTCCATTCTTTTCCCTTCTAAATAACTTCTCCCTGTCGCACCCCGAGGCATTTTTTTAGGACGGGCTGGGCGCTTCGCCTGAGATTTCCTCGCCATGTATGACTGCCAAGCTTAAAAACGGGCAAAAGTTTCACAGATGGAGGGCGGGTAGTTTTCAAAATGTGGCTCCCGCCTTAGATCCGCGCACATTCGTCTTAAAATGTTGCGAGGGCTTCACAGATTGAGGGTGACCCGTTCGCGCCGCGCACATTCGTTCTAAACATGCGCAAGAGCTTCACGGATTGAGGGCGGTTCCATTTCAAAATGTGACTCTCGCCGTAGCGCCGCGCACATTCGTTCATACAATCTGAAAGAATGTTACGGCTTCCCACGATCAGCGTACCAAAAAAGGTGTTTTGGAAGGATTCCGGACTTTGCGGACGCAACAGTTACGTTGATTCGTGGTGTTGAAATTCCAAGAATGACGTTATGGCACGATCCAGGATCGTCAAGACGCAGCAGGCAGGTTGATCCGTTGCGTTGGAATCCCGAGAACCATGTTTTGGCATGCTTCTGGGTCTTCAAACGATTGTCTTCCAACGAGGCAGATCCCTCAATGAAAATGGCCGTTGTAGGAGCCTATGAAGAGGGAGCTTGGAGGGAGGGTGTATTCCAACATCGTTGATGGCTCTTGGGTTTACACTGGTCCTCCTCCTCCTCCTCCTGCTCCTCCTCCTCCTCTTCCTGGTCCTCCTCCTCCTCCTCCGGATCATCCTCTTTTACCTCGTTTCGTGCTCCTTCTGTTCATCGTAAACGGTTATCCTCACCATTCTCCCCCTCATCCATCCTCCACTCCCCCTCTCTCTCATCTGCATACATGCTATTATTCCTACTCCTCCTCATCATCATCATCAGCAGCATCATCATCAGCATCATCAGCATCATCACCATCACTACCATCAGCAGCAGCAGCAGCATCATCATCACCACCATCATCATCATCATCATCAGCATCATCATCATCATCATCATCAGCAGCAGCAGCAGCAGCATCAGCATCATCAGCATCATCGTATTCATCATCCTCATGAGCATGACCATCACCAGCATCATCATCAGCATCATCATTACCACCATCACCATCACCATGGCCATCACTGTCATCATCATAAGCAGCAGCATCATCAGCATCATCAACATCATCATCAGCATCAGCATCAGCATCAGCATCAGCATCATCAGCATCATCAGCATCGGCATCATGATCGTCATGATGATCATCCTCTACATCCTCATCCTCCTCTTTCTCGTGCTCCGTCACCCGTCCCTCCTCGTCCTCCTCAGACGTACCACTTACCCAGTTCCCGTCCCCTCTCTGCCTCCCTCGTCCCTCTTCAGCTCCCCCACCGCTTCGAGAGGGGCTTGGAGGAGCAGAAAAAGGCTCGCCACACAGATCCTACCCTGGGCGCCAGGTGCCCCCGCTGAACGATGCCCCCCCCCGTCTCGGGGGCGTGACGACGCACACGGGCCAGCCGCGCCCCCCGGACCCCTTTTTGACATACTTACCAGCTCATCACACACGGTGGAAGACTATTGTGCGGCCAGGCGCGGCTGCCTGCGCGCGCTGGTCAGAGCGGCAAGGCCCATGAATTACAGCGCCCCGAACCCGTCCTGCTCGCCGGGCCGCTCACCAGCCCTTGCCGTACGGCGCGTAGCCGCCCTTGCCGCCCTTGTCCTTGCCCTTCCCCTTCCCCTTGCCGCCGCCGCCGCCTCCACCGCCGGAGTTCAGGTTCACGGCCTTGTACTTGCCCTTGCGGTCGTCGTACTCCGCGTCGTAGGACACGGAGTCGCCCTGCTGGCAGTCGTTCAGCGCGGGGTTCTCCTTCACGTGCGCGAACACGTCCTCGCTGCCGTCGTCGGGGGTGATGAAGCCGAAGCCCTTCTCTTCGAAGAAGTTCTTGAGGGTGCCGCGGCTCGACATGGCTCCAGCGAGTGCCTGGGCGAAGGGCTTGAGACCAAAAATGCTTGAGCCAAAATGGCTGCCAGGCGGCAGATGAATGTGCTGACCCAGAACACGGGGGGGCGCCTTCGAAAGAATCCAGCCGTCGGAGGTCCACATGCTCCTCATCGTCTCGACCTACCTCAGGAGACCCAGAGCTCGAGGCGGTCGCGAAGAAATCGCAAGCCCGAAACCAAGACGTAAAGATGTCAATATCATCCCGTTTTGGGTGCCAAATGACCCCACCGTTCCGCCTGAATCCGTGAGACTGGCATCAATAGGCGTCTGGCGCTGCGGGTGCCCGCTGGCGTTCAGGCCCCCACAAGTCAGACGGAAACTTAGCAAACGAGTGCACGTCGGTCGGAAGAAGTAGGTATAAACATGAGGTTGAAGGACCGCATTTCAAGTAAGCTTTCCATAGACAGCTTGTCTGCAAGGGTTCTATTTTAAATGGTCCAAGAAACTAGTACGTGCTTTGCCAAATGCGGGATCGGGCGGGCGACATTACCTCCCGTTGCCTCTCGTGGCCTCATGTAGCTTACCCTTGCCTCCCGCTGCCTCCCGTGGCCTCCCGTGGCCTTCTGTGGCCTCCCATAGCCTCCCATTGCATCCTGTGGCCTCTCAGTGCCGTCCCTATGCATATCCCTATCCCTCTATGTCCCTATATCCCTATCCCTATCTCTCTGTCCCTATGCTGTTGGCATGCTCCAAGAAACTGATAGGTGCGCTGCCGAATCTGGGATCGGACGGGCGATACTGCCTCCCGCGGCCGCCCGGTGCCTCTCGTTGCCCCCCTGTGGCCTCCCGTGGCCTCCCATGGCATCCCATTGTCGTCCCTATCCCTATTCCTCCATCCCTGTCCCTCGAACCTTATCCCTTGTATCACTATCCCTTTCCCTCTTCTCCCCATCCCATCCCCATCTCGATCCCTACCTCTAGATCCTATCAACACTAAATTGTGATTCCAGTAACCCTAAATCACTGTTCCTTATGGGCACACACACCCTCCCCCACCCGACTGGCGACTAACCCGAATGCCAACACCCCCCCTCCCAACCATCCCTGTAAAGCACACTACAAGCTGCACTTTTCACCAAAATCTGGATCATGCGCGAACGCCCCACGATCACATAAGCACATGACACATTGCATGTTTCACCACAAAATGGATCATGCGCGAACGCCCCGCGATCACGCTGCATCGGTTTTTGGTAGGGACGGGAGGGGCTGGCGTATTGCAAGCTGTGTGCGATGTCAGCACCCCCCACCATCACTTTCAAAAAAAAAAACACGTTGCACCAACATCTGGATCATACGCGGACGCCACGCGATTATTCTTGGCATTTGACAGGGACGGCGGGTGGGACGGCATGTTGCCTGCTGCGCGCAGGCCCACCATCAGTTTCAACAGAAAGTGCAGCAAATGCGCTTTGCAAGGGAAGGCGAGCGGCTGGGCGGCATCGTGCTTGCTGTGCGCAGGCCCACCATCCCTGTCAGAAACAATTGTACAGTGATTGCGGCCGCACAGCCACACACACCATGCTGGCACACCATTCTATCAAACACAATTCCACAACACCCAGCACTGACAAACCCGCCGTCACGTTGCATTGGCTTTTGACAAGGATGGTGGAGAGCCGGCATATTGCCCAAATTGGCGCACCCGGTGTGCGTGGCGCACCTGGCATGTGCGGCGCACCTCGCGGGCTTCGCGCACCTGGCTGGAGTCTGCATTGGTTCCCGATGGTTGTCGATGGCGGCCCCTGCCTATGCTTAGGTCCCGGTGTTGCGTGTGAAGTGGGAGGACGGTGTAGAGAGAGCGAGACAGCTTGCAGCGTTCTTGCTGGGAACTAGATCACTGCTCATTATTACGATTAGTATGCACCCCCTCCCCCTCCCGACTGGCGACAAACCCGAAACAAATGCGACCCCCCGTCACCCCTTATCTAAAAACAGTGGAAAGTGCACTCTGCGTCCAAATCTTGGGCACTGCTCGGGGAGCCCGCGAGCACGCTGTATTGTGTTTGTTGACGGGGACGGCGGGGGTGCCAGCATATGGCCTGCTGTGCGCAGGGCCACCACCCCCGTCAACAAAAATACAAAATGCACTTCGCGGCTCAATCTGGATCATGCGCGGGCACCCGGCGATCACTTTGCAGTGGTGTTTGGCCGCGACGGCAGGGGATGCTGGCAGATTGCCTGCTGTGCAGGCCCACCAGGCACCATGATGGCCACCCCGCCGCGATTGCGCAGTGGTGCTCGACAACGATGGTGGAAGCCGACATGTTTCCGATGTGTGTTGTCACGTGCGCAGGCGCACCTGGCACACTCTGCGCGTGCCCCGAACGTGGCGCACCTGGCCCAGCTGGAGCACGCGGCACACATGGCGCACGTGGAGCACGTGACACATCTGGCGCACCATGCGTGCCTGGCACGCTTGGGCCCCAGGGGTGCCTGGCACACCTGGCGCGCCTCGTGGCGCACCTCGCCCCAGCATCACGCACATGGGGTCACGCCATCCAAAGACGAGCGCTGAACATACTGCAGCTCGGGTGCTACTTCTGTGTTGGAAGGGCGGGGGTGAGCAAGACGGCTTGCGGGCGGGGAGCGTGCCTTGCTCCTTTCGCTACTCCTATCTCTATCGCTATCCCGATCCCCACACCGTGGCCATGCATCGTGGCCCCCTATCGTGACCCCCCATCGTGGCCCTCACCTTAGCTGCGCAAAGCTGCTTAAGCTCGTCTACCGCAAGGGCGCAAAGGATATCACGCTATCGCCCAGCCCCCAGAAAAGGAGGGAAAAAGGACAGCCGTTCGATTTGGATCTAGGAAGGCTCTTTAAGTAGATGATTCGACCTGCCATGCCAGGAGCACCTATACTTCCACCGACCGACGAGTAATGGAGAGGGGCTCGGAGGAGTGGAAGGGTTCGCCCCTGGGCTGCAAAGTCTACTTGGGGCGCCAGTGACCTCATTTGTCGACAATCCAGTCTCCGAGGGATCGAGGCGTGGGCCAGGCACGCCCACTGAACACCGTAGTTTTTTTTACCAACTCCGCACACAGGGTGGAAGACTATTGTACTATTGTGCGGCCAGGCGCGGCTGCCTGCGCGCGCCTGGCAAGGCGGCAAGGCCAATGAATTACAGCACAGTCCCGAACTGTCCTGTTCGAGGCCAGCACTCGCACGGGTCGCCCGCGCACACGCGGCTGGCCGCTCACCAGCCCTTGCCGTACGGCGCGTAGCCGCCCTTGCCGCCCTTGTCCTTGCCCTTCCCCTTCCCCTTGCCGCCGCCGCCGCCTCCGCCGCCGGAGTTCACGTTCACGGCCTTGTACTTGCCCTTGCGGTCGTCGTACTCCGCGTCGTAGGACACGGAGTCGCCCTGTTGGCAGTCGTTCAGCGCGGGGTTCTCCTTCACGTGCGCGAACACGTCCTCGCTGCCGTCGTCGGGGGTGATGAAGCCGAAGCCCTTCTCTTCGAAGAAGTTCTTGAGGGTGCCGCGGCTCGACATGGCTCCAGCGAGTGCCTGGGCGAAGGGCTTGAGACCAAAAATGCTTGAGCCAAAATGGCTGCCGGGCGGCAGGCGAATGTGCTGACCCAGCTCACGGGAACAAGCAATGACATAAACGAAAAAAAACCGGAGGTCCGCGCGGAGGAGGAGGAGGAGGAGGAGGAGGAGGAGGAGGAGGAGGAGGAGGAGGAGGAGGAGGAGGAGGAGGAGGAGGAGGAGGGGAGGGGAGGAGGAGGAGGAGGAGGAGGAGGAGGAGGAGGAGGAGGAGGAGGAGGAGGGAGAGGAGGAGGAGGAGGAGGAGGAGGAGGAGGGGGCGTCATCGAAAGAATCGAGCAGTCGAATGTGCACGTCATCCTTGTCGCCCCGACCTGGGGCATCTGCAGGTCTCCGGGGACCTCGGGAGACGCCCCCCGGACCTCTGGGCGGTCGCGAGCAAGTCGCGGGGCCCCAGGCCGAGACGTAAAGATGCAAAGGGACCCAGAAATGTTCGAATGACAAAAACAATGTTCTCAGAATGAAGACCGGATGTGTTAAAACAAAACAGTCCCAGCCAGAAAAGTTCTAAGAACATTTCGTGCAGACCACAAAAGGTTCTTAGAACAGTGCTTGGTGGTCCTATAGGAAAGCCTGGACGCTTCGCCACTGCTCGATTGGTTGTCGCTAGTATGTCCTGTAACGATTCATTGCACCAACCTTGCAGACGTGCTGCAGCGGATTATTGTGTGGACTTATGTCCGTGCAAACCCCGAATCGGCGAGTGAAAAACGAAGTGAGCTTCGCGTGGGTTTCTTTCAGTCTTCATCCCTGGCCACAAAAAAAACGCACGCCATTCACCTCGAAGTCCGGAGGGAAACTCTCCAGGACGCTCTGGGCCCATCCGATCGTCTTCCAAACGAAATCCGCTCTGCGATGTTGGCGCCATGAAGCGGTCGTTACCCGGGAAGGGGGGGAGGCCCGGGCAACGGTCAAGTCTGGGCGGGATGGGGCACGTCGGGGCGGGGGCGCGCTGCGCTCGCCATCGTGTGCGCGCGGGCACCGGCATGTCTGACAGGGTTCAGCCCCTCCCCCCCCCCCCCTATGTTAAGGTCGGGCTTGTCCCCCTACAAGCAGATTTGGGACGAAGAATAAAACAGACCCCAAAAATATCCAAAACATCTTCTCAAATAGTCCAAAAATATCGTCCCCAGACTATTTTCGGACTATTTCTGAATTTTCCTCCTGTAGAGGGACACGCCCGACTTACGCCTACGCACGATCGTTACAGGTACCCAGTGGGTGGGGCGCTTGTAACGGACATTAAGCGACAGAGGATAAAAAACAATATCAAAGCTATGTGGCGCTGACGGCGCCAGCAATTGGAGGGTTCGCCCCCCCTGCTGCAGATTCTATGTGGGGGCGCCAGGCGCCCCCACTGGTCGATGCCCCCCGCTTCTGGAGAGCAACGAGGCATGGGCCAGCCCCGCTGCCTTTAGGTCGAGCATGTCGCCCTACAGGCGGATCTTCGACGAAAAAAAAAAAAAATACTCGATAATGGACAAAGAGAAATCGAAAATTCGCCCCCCTGACTAATTCTGGACTCTCTTTGAATATTCCTCGCGTAGGTGGACGCGCCCGATTGAACGCCACCTGGACAATGTGCACCCAGGAGGACGGCCCAAGGCACGGGAAAGGTCTGCCCGGGTCTCTGGGCGGGGGCCCGGCCGGTGGGCGCCAACTGGGCGCCCCGCGCTGGGGGGCGGGATGCCGAGGTCCCGCCTGGTGCCCGCCCTTTGCCGCCCGTGGGCGCCTCGTGGGCGCCCTGTGGGCGGCTGCACAGCCTGCACCACACAAAGACTGGGCCACACAGCCTGCACCGCAGAGATTTTGCAGCACAGCGTTCACAGCATAGCTCGGGCACGCAGACTGCACCACACAGCCTGCACCACACTGCTTGCACCGCGTATCGTTCAGCGTACAGCCTGCACCGCATAGAAGTCACCGCATAGCTCGCACCACACAGTGTACACTACCTAGCTTGCACCGCATGGCTTGCACCGCATCTCCTGCACCTTCCACCGCACAGCTTGCACCACACGTCGTGCAACACACGACTCGCGCCACAAATCTTGCCCCACATATCCTGCACCACACAGCTTGCATACACCACACGTCTTGCACCACATCGCTTGCACCACGTGGCTTGCACAATGCACAATGCAAAGACTTTCTGCTGGCGGCCCACGCCGAGGCACACATTTTATACAAATTCATCACACACGGTCGAAGACTATTGGGCTGCCAGGCGCGGCTGCCTGCGCGCGCCTGGCAAGGCGGCAAGGCCAATGAATTACAGCACAATCCTGGACTGTACTGTTCGAGGGCATCACGCGCGCGGGTCGCCCGCGCGCACGCGGCTGGCCGCTCACCAGCCCTTGCCGTACGGCGCGTAGCCGCCCTTGCCGCCCTTGTCCTTGCCCTTCCCCTTCCCCTTGCCGCCGCCGCCTCCGCCGCCGGAGTTCAGGTTCACGGCCTTGTACTTGCCCTTGCGGTCGTCGTACTCCGCGTCGTAGGACACGGAGTCGCCCTGCTGGCAGTCGTTCAGCGCGGGGTTCTCCTTCACGTGCGCGAACACGTCCTCGCTGCCGTCGTCGGGGGTGATGAAGCCGAAGCCCTTCTCTTCGAAGAAGTTCTTGAGGGTGCCGCGGCTCGACATGGCTCCAGCGAGTGCCTGGGCGAAGGGCTTGAGACCAAAAATGCTTGAGCCAAAATGGCTGCCGGGCGGCAGGTGAATGTGCTGACCCAGCTCACGGGGGGAGGCCTTCGAAAGAATGCAGCCGTCGGAGGTCCACATGCTCCTCATCGTCTCGACCTACCTCAGGAGACCCAGAGCTCGAGGCGGTCGCGAAGAAATCGCGGGCCCGAAACCAAGACGTAAAGATGTCAACCTCATCCCGTTTTGGGTGCCAAGTGACCCCACCGTTCCTCCTGAATCCGTGAGACTGGCATCAATAGGCGTCTGGCGCTGCGGGTGCCCGCTGGCGTTCAGGCCCCCACAGGTCAGACGGAAACTTAGCAAACGAGTGCACGTCGGTCGGAAGAAGTAGGTAGAAACATGAGGATGAAGGACCGCGTTTCAAGTAAGCTTTCCCTAGACAGCTTGTCTGCAAGGGTTCTATGTTAAATGGTCCAAGGAACTAGTAGGTGCACTGCCAAATGCGGGATCGGGCGGACGGCATCACCTCCCGTTGCCTCCCGTGGCCTCATGTAGCTGCCCGTTGCCTCCCGTTGCCTCCCGTGGCCTCCCGTGGCCTTCTGTGGCCTCCCATGGCCTCCCATTGCATCCTGTGGCCTCTCACTGCCGTCCCTGTGCATGTCCCTATCCCTCTATGTCCCTATATCCCTATCCCTATCTCCCTGTCCCTATGCTGTTGGCATGCTCCAAGAAACTGATAGGTGCGCTGCCGAATCTGGGATCGGGCGGGCGGCACTGCCTCCCGCGGCCTCCCGGTGCCTCTCGTTGCCCCCCATGTGGCCTCCCGTGGCCTCCCATGGCATCCCATTGTCGTCCCTATCCCTGTTCCTCCATCCCTGTCCCTCGAACCTTATCCCTTGTATCACTATCCCTATCCCTCTTCTCCCCATCCCCATTCCCATGTCGATCCCGATCTCTAGATCCTTTCAACACTAAATTGCGATCCCCGTAACCCTAAATCACTGTTCCTTATGGGCACACACACACCCTCCCCCACCCGACTGGCGACAAGCCCGGGCCAATGCCAACACCCCCCCCCTCCCAACCATCCCTGTAAAGCACAGTACAAGCTGCACTTTTCACCACAATCTGGGTCACGCGCGAACGCCCCGCGATCACGTAAGCACATGACACGTTGCATGTTTCACCACAATCTGGATCATGCGCGAACGCCCCGCGATCACACTGCATCGGTTTTTGGTAGGGACGGGGGGGGCTGGCGTATTGCAAGCTGTGTGCGATGCCAGCACCCCCCACCATCACTTCCAAAAAAAAAAATACACGTTGCACCAGCATCTGGATCATACGCGGACGCCACGCGATTATTCTTGGCATTTGACAGGGACGGCGGGTGGAACGGCATGTTGCCTGCTGCGCGCAGGCCCACCATTAGTTTCAACAGAAAGTGCAGTAAGTGCACTTTGCAAGGGAAGGCGAGCGGCTGGGCGGCATAGTGCCTGCTGCGCGCAGGCCCACCATCCCTGTCAGAAACAATTGCACAGTGGTTGCGGCCGCACAGCCACACACACACACACACACACCATGCTGGCACACCATTCTGTCAAACACAATTCCACAACACCCAACACTGACAAACCCGCCGTCACTTTGCATTGGCTTTTGACAAGGAGGGTGGAAGGTCGGCATATTGCCCAAAGTGGCGCACCCGGTGTGCGTGGCGCATCTGGCATGTGCGGAGCACCTCGCGGGCTTCGCTCACCTGGCTGGAGTCTGCATTGGTTCCCGATGGTTGCCGATGGCGGCCCCTGCCTATGCTCAGGTCCCGGTGTTGCGTATGAAGTGGGAGGGCGGTTTAGAGAGAGCGAGACAGCCTGCAGCGTTCTTGCTGGGAACTAGATCACTGCTCATTATTACGATTAGTATGCACCCTCTCCCCCTCCCGACTGGCGACAAACCCGAAACAAATGCGACCCCCCGTCACCCATTACCAAAAAACCATGGAAAGTGCACTCTGCGTCCAAAGCTTGGGCAATGCTCGAGGAGCCCGCGAGCACGTTGTATTGTTTTTGTTGACGGGGACGGCGGGGGTGCCAGCATATGGCCTGCTGTGCGCAGGGCCACCACCCCCGTCAACAAAAATACAAAGCGCATTTCGCGGATCAATCTGGATATTGCGCGGGCACCTGGCGATCACTTTGCAGTGTTTTTTGGCCGCGACCGCGGTGGTGCTGGCAGATTGCCTGCTGCGCAGGCCCACCAGACACCATGATGGCCACCCCGCCGCGATTGCGCAATGGTGTTCGACAACGATGGTGGGAGCCGACATGTTTCCGACGTGTGTTGTCACGTGCGCAGGCGCACCTGGCACACTCTGCGCGTGCCCCGAACGTGGCGCACCTGGCCCAGCTGGAGCACGCGGCACACATGGCGCACGTGGAGCACGTGACACATCTGGCGCACCATGCGTGCCTGGCACGCTTGGGCCCCAGGGGTGCCTGGCACACCTGGCGCGCCTCGTGGCGCACCTCGCCCCAGCGTCACGCACATGGGGTCACGCCATCCAAAGACGAGCGCTGAACATACTGCAGCTCGGGTGCTACTTCTGTGTTGGAAGGGCGGGGGTGAGCAAGACGGCTTGCGGGCGGGGAGCGTGCCTTGCTCCTTTCCCTACTCCTATCTCTATCGCTATCCCGATCCCCACACCGTGGCCATGCATCGTGGCCCCCTATCGTGACCCCCCATCGTGGCCCTCATCTTAGCTGTGCAAAGCTGTTTAAGCTCGTCTGCCGCAAGGGCGCAAAGGATATCATGCTATCGCCCAGCCCCCAGAAAAGGAGGGAAAAAGGACAGCCGTTCGATGTGGATCTAGGAAGGCTCTTGAAGTAGATGATTCGACCTGCCATGCCAGGAGCACCTATATTTTCACCGACCGACGAGTAATGGAGAGGGGCTCGGAGGAGTGGAAGGGTTCGCCCCTGGGCTGCAAAGTCTACTTGGGGCGCCAGTGACCTCATTTGTCGACAATCCAGTCTCCGAGGGATCGAGGCGTGGGCCAGGCACGCCCACTGAACACCGTAGTGTTTTACCAACTCCTCACACAGGGTGGAAGACTATTGTGCGGCCAGGCGCGGCTGCCTGCGCACGCCTGGCAAGGCGGCAAGGCCAATGAATTACAATACAGTCCCGGACTGTACTGTTCGAGGGCATCACGCGCGCGGGTCGCCCGCGCGCACGCGGCTGGCCGCTCACCAGCCCTTGCCGTACGGCGCGTAGCCGCCCTTGCCGCCCTTGTCCTTGCCCTTCCCCTTCCCCTTGCCGCCGCCGCCTCCGCCGCCGGAGTTCAGGTTCACGGCCTTGTACTTGCCCTTGCGGTCGTCGTACTCCGCATCGTAGGACACGGAGTCGCCCTGTTGGCAGTCGTTCAGCGCGGGGTTCTCCTTCACGTGCGCGAACACGTCCTCGCTGCCGTCGTCAGGGGTGATGAAGCCGAAGCCCTTCTCTTCGAAGAAGTTCTTGAGGGTGCCGCGGCTCGACATGGCTCCAGCGAGTGCCTGGGCGAAGGGCGTGAGACCAAAAATGCTTGAGCCAAAATGGCTGCCGGGCGGCAGGCGAATGTGCTGACCCAGCTCACGGGGGGGGGAGTCTTCGAAAGAATCGAGACGTCGGAGGTCCACGTGCTCCTCATCGTCTCGACCTACCTCAGGAGACCCAGAGCTCGAGGCGGTCGCGAAGAAATCGCGGGCCCGAAACCAAGACGTAAAGATGTCAACCTCATCCCGTTTTGGGTGCCAAGTGACCCCACCGTTCCTCCTGAATCCGTGAGACTGGCATCAATAGGCGTCTGGCGCTGCGGGTGCCCGCTGGCGTTCAGGACCCCACAGGTCAGACGGAAACTTCGCAAACGAGTGCACGTCGGTCGGAAGAAGTAGGTAGAAACATGAGGATGAAGGACCGCGTTTCAAGTAAGCTTTCCCTAGACAGCTTGTCTGCAAGGGTTCTATGTTAAATGGTCCAAGGAACTAGTAGGTGCACTGCCAAATGCGGGATCGGGCGGACGGCATCACCTCCCGTTGCCTCCCGTGGCCTCATGTAGCTGCCCGTTGCCTCCCGTTGCCTCCCGTGGCCTCCCGTGGCCTTCTGTGGCCTCCCATGGCCTCCCATTGCATCCTGTGGCCTCTCACTGCCGTCCCTGTGCATGTCCCTATCCCTCTATGTCCCTATATCCCTATCCCTATCTCCCTGTCCCTATGCTGTTGGCATGCTCCAAGAAACTGATAGGTGCGCTGCCGAATCTGGGATCGGGCGGGCGGCACTGCCTCCCGCGGCCTCCCGGTGCCTCTCGTTGCCCCCCATGTGGCCTCCCGTGGCCTCCCATGGCATCCCATTGTCGTCCCTATCCCTGTTCCTCCATCCCTGTCCCTCGAACCTTATCCCTTGTATCACTATCCCTATCCCTCTTCTCCCCATCCCCATTCCCATGTCGATCCCGATCTCTAGATCCTTTCAACACTAAATTGCGATCCCCGTAACCCTAAATCACTGTTCCTTATGGGCACACACACACCCTCCCCCACCCGACTGGCGACAAGCCCGGGCCAATGCCAACACCCCCCCCCTCCCAACCATCCCTGTAAAGCACAGTACAAGCTGCACTTTTCACCACAATCTGGGTCACGCGCGAACGCCCCGCGATCACGTAAGCACATGACACGTTGCATGTTTCACCACAATCTGGATCATGCGCGAACGCCCCGCGATCACACTGCATCGGTTTTTGGTAGGGACGGGGGGGGCTGGCGTATTGCAAGCTGTGTGCGATGCCAGCACCCCCCACCATCACTTCCAAAAAAAAAAATACACGTTGCACCAGCATCTGGATCATACGCGGACGCCACGCGATTATTCTTGGCATTTGACAGGGACGGCGGGTGGAACGGCATGTTGCCTGCTGCGCGCAGGCCCACCATTAGTTTCAACAGAAAGTGCAGTAAGTGCACTTTGCAAGGGAAGGCGAGCGGCTGGGCGGCATAGTGCCTGCTGCGCGCAGGCCCACCATCCCTGTCAGAAACAATTGCACAGTGGTTGCGGCCGCACAGCCACACACACACACACACACCATGCTGGCACACCATTCTGTCAAACACAATTCCACAACACCCAACACTGACAAACCCGCCGTCACTTTGCATTGGCTTTTGACAAGGAGGGTGGAAGGTCGGCATATTGCCCAAAGTGGCGCACCCGGTGTGCGTGGCGCATCTGGCATGTGCGGAGCACCTCGCGGGCTTCGCTCACCTGGCTGGAGTCTGCATTGGTTCCCGATGGTTGCCGATGGCGGCCCCTGCCTATGCTCAGGTCCCGGTGTTGCGTATGAAGTGGGAGGGCGGTTTAGAGAGAGCGAGACAGCCTGCAGCGTTCTTGCTGGGAACTAGATCACTGCTCATTATTACGATTAGTATGCACCCTCTCCCCCTCCCGACTGGCGACAAACCCGAAACAAATGCGACCCCCCGTCACCCATTACCAAAAAACCATGGAAAGTGCACTCTGCGTCCAAAGCTTGGGCAATGCTCGAGGAGCCCGCGAGCACGTTGTATTGTTTTTGTTGACGGGGACGGCGGGGGTGCCAGCATATGGCCTGCTGTGCGCAGGGCCACCACCCCCGTCAACAAAAATACAAAGCGCATTTCGCGGCTCAATCTGGATATTGCGCGGGCACCTGGCGATCACTTTGCAGTGTTTTTTGGCCGCGACCGCGGTGGTGCTGGCAGATTGCCTGCTGCGCAGGCCCACCAGACACCATGATGGCCACCCCGCCGCGATTGCGCAATGGTGTTCGACAACGATGGTGGGAGCCGACATGTTTCCGACGTGTGTTGTCACGTGCGCAGGCGCACCTGGCACACTCTGCGCGTGCCCCGAACGTGGCGCACCTGGCCCAGCTGGAGCACGCGGCACACATGGCGCACGTGGAGCACGTGACACATCTGGCGCACCATGCGTGCCTGGCACGCTTGGGCCCCAGGGGTGCCTGGCACACCTGGCGCGCCTCGTGGCGCACCTCGCCCCAGCGTCACGCACATGGGGTCACGCCATCCAAAGACGAGCGCTGAACATACTGCAGCTCGGGTGCTACTTCTGTGTTGGAAGGGCGGGGGTGAGCAAGACGGCTTGCGGGCGGGGAGCGTGCCTTGCTCCTTTCCCTACTCCTATCTCTATCGCTATCCCGATCCCCACACCGTGGCCATGCATCGTGGCCCCCTATCGTGACCCCCCATCGTGGCCCTCATCTTAGCTGTGCAAAGCTGTTTAAGCTCGTCTGCCGCAAGGGCGCAAAGGATATCATGCTATCGCCCAGCCCCCAGAAAAGGAGGGAAAAAGGACAGCCGTTCGATGTGGATCTAGGAAGGCTCTTGAAGTAGATGATTCGACCTGCCATGCCAGGAGCACCTATATTTTCACCGACCGACGAGTAATGGAGAGGGGCTCGGAGGAGTGGAAGGGTTCGCCCCTGGGCTGCAAAGTCTACTTGGGGCGCCAGTGACCTCATTTGTCGACAATCCAGTCTCCGAGGGATCGAGGCGTGGGCCAGGCACGCCCACTGAACACCGTAGTGTTTTACCAACTCCTCACACAGGGTGGAAGACTATTGTGCGGCCAGGCGCGGCTGCCTGCGCACGCCTGGCAAGGCGGCAAGGCCAATGAATTACAGCACAATCCTGGACTGTACTGTTCGAGGGCATCACGCGCGCGGGTCGCCCGCGCGCACGCGGCTGGCCGCTCACCAGCCCTTGCCGTACGGCGCGTAGCCGCCCTTGCCGCCCTTGTCCTTGCCCTTCCCCTTCCCCTTGCCGCCGCCGCCTCCGCCGCCGGAGTTCAGGTTCACGGCCTTGTACTTGCCCTTGCGGTCGTCGTACTCCGCATCGTAGGACACGGAGTCGCCCTGTTGGCAGTCGTTCAGCGCGGGGTTCTCCTTCACGTGCGCGAACACGTCCTCGCTGCCGTCGTCAGGGGTGATGAAGCCGAAGCCCTTCTCTTCGAAGAAGTTCTTGAGGGTGCCGCGGCTCGACATGGCTCCAGCGAGTGCCTGGGCGAAGGGCGTGAGACCAAAAATGCTTGAGCCAAAATGGCTGCCGGGCGGCAGGCGAATGTGCTGACCCAGCTCACGGGGGGGGGAGTCTTCGAAAGAATCGAGACGTCGGAGGTCCACGTGCTCCTCATCGTCTCGACCTACCTCAGGAGACCCAGAGCTCGAGGCGGTCGCGAAGAAATCGCGGGCCCGAAACCAAGACGTAAAGATGTCAACCTCATCCCGTTTTGGGTGCCAAGTGACCCCACCGTTCCTCCTGAATCCGTGAGACTGGCATCAATAGGCGTCTGGCGCTGCGGGTGCCCGCTGGCGTTCAGGACCCCACAGGTCAGACGGAAACTTCGCAAACGAGTGCACGTCGGTCGGAAGAAGTAGGTAGAAACATGAGGATGAAGGACCGCGTTTCAAGTAAGCTTTCCCTAGACAGCTTGTCTGCAAGGGTTCTATGTTAAATGGTCCAAGGAACTAGTAGGTGCACTGCCAAATGCGGGATCGGGCGGACGGCATCACCTCCCGTTGCCTCCCGTGGCCTCATGTAGCTGCCCGTTGCCTCCCGTTGCCTCCCGTGGCCTCCCGTGGCCTTCTGTGGCCTCCCATGGCCTCCCATTGCATCCTGTGGCCTCTCACTGCCGTCCCTGTGCATGTCCCTATCCCTCTATGTCCCTATATCCCTATCCCTATCTCCCTGTCCCTATGCTGTTGGCATGCTCCAAGAAACTGATAGGTGCGCTGCCGAATCTGGGATCGGGCGGGCGGCACTGCCTCCCGCGGCCTCCCGGTGCCTCTCGTTGCCCCCCATGTGGCCTCCCGTGGCCTCCCATGGCATCCCATTGTCGTCCCTATCCCTGTTCCTCCATCCCTGTCCCTCGAACCTTATCCCTTGTATCACTATCCCTATCCCTCTTCTCCCCATCCCCATTCCCATGTCGATCCCGATCTCTAGATCCTTTCAACACTAAATTGCGATCCCCGTAACCCTAAATCACTGTTCCTTATGGGCACACACACACCCTCCCCCACCCGACTGGCGACAAGCCCGGGCCAATGCCAACACCCCCCCCCTCCCAACCATCCCTGTAAAGCACAGTACAAGCTGCACTTTTCACCACAATCTGGGTCACGCGCGAACGCCCCGCGATCACGTAAGCACATGACACGTTGCATGTTTCACCACAATCTGGATCATGCGCGAACGCCCCGCGATCACACTGCATCGGTTTTTGGTAGGGACGGGGGGGGCTGGCGTATTGCAAGCTGTGTGCGATGCCAGCACCCCCCACCATCACTTCCAAAAAAAAAAATACACGTTGCACCAGCATCTGGATCATACGCGGACGCCACGCGATTATTCTTGGCATTTGACAGGGACGGCGGGTGGAACGGCATGTTGCCTGCTGCGCGCAGGCCCACCATTAGTTTCAACAGAAAGTGCAGTAAGTGCACTTTGCAAGGGAAGGCGAGCGGCTGGGCGGCATAGTGCCTGCTGCGCGCAGGCCCACCATCCCTGTCAGAAACAATTGCACAGTGGTTGCGGCCGCACAGCCACACACACACACACACACCATGCTGGCACACCATTCTGTCAAACACAATTCCACAACACCCAACACTGACAAACCCGCCGTCACTTTGCATTGGCTTTTGACAAGGAGGGTGGAAGGTCGGCATATTGCCCAAAGTGGCGCACCCGGTGTGCGTGGCGCATCTGGCATGTGCGGAGCACCTCGCGGGCTTCGCTCACCTGGCTGGAGTCTGCATTGGTTCCCGATGGTTGCCGATGGCGGCCCCTGCCTATGCTCAGGTCCCGGTGTTGCGTATGAAGTGGGAGGGCGGTGTAGAGAGAGCGAGACAGCTTGCAGCGTTCTTGCTGGGAACTAGATCACTGCTCATTATTACGATTAGTATGCACCCCCTCCCCCTCCCGACTGGCGACAAACCCGAAACAAATGCGACCCCCCGTCACCCATTACCAAAAAACCATGGAAAGTGCACTCTGCGTCCAAAGCTTGGGCAATGCTCGAGGAGCCCGCGAGCACGTTGTATTGTTTTTGTTGACGGGGACGGCGGGGGTGCCAGCATATGGCCTGCTGTGCGCAGGGCCACCACCCCCGTCAACAAAAATACAAAGCGCATTTCGCGGCTCAATCTGGATCATGCGCGGGCACCTGGCGATCACTTTGCAGTGTTTTTTGGCCGCGACCGCGGTGGTGCTGGCAGATTGCCTGCTGTGCAGGCCCACCAGACACCATGATGACCACCCCGCCGCGACTGCGCAATGGTGTTCGACAACGATGGTGGGAGCCGACATGTTTCCGATGTGTGTTGTCACGTGCGTAGGCGCACCTAGCACACTCTGCGCGTGCCCCGAACGTGGCGCACCTGGCCCAGCTGGAGCACGCGGCACACATGGCGCACGTGGAGCACGTGACACATCTGGCACACCATGCGTGCCTGGCACGCTTGGGCCCCAGGGGTGCCTGGCACACCTGGCGCGCCTCGTGGCGCACCTCGCCCCAGCGTCACGCACATGTGGTCACGCCATCCAAAGACGAGCGCTGAACATACTGCAGCTCGGGTGCTACTTCTGTCTTGGAAGGGCGGGGGTGAGCAAGACGGCTTGCGGGCGGGGAGCGTGCCTTGCTCCTTTCCCTACTCCTCTCTCTATCGCTATCACGATCCCCACACCGTGGCCATGCATCGTGGCCCCCTATCGTGACCCCCCATCGTGGCCCTCACCTTAGCTGCGCAAGGCTGCTTAAGCTCGTCTACCGCAAGGGCGCAAAGGATATCATGTTATCGCTCAGCCCCCAGAAAAGGAGGGAAAAAGGACAGCCGTTCGATGTGGATCTAGGAAGGCTCTTGAAGTAGATGATTCGACCTGCCATGCCAGGAGCACCTATATTTTCACCGACCGACGAGTAATGGAGAGGGGCTCGGAGGAGTGGAAGGGTTCGCCCCTGGGCTGCAAAGTCTACTTGGGGCGCCAGTGACCTCATTTGTCGACAATCCAGTCTCCGAGGGATCGAGGCGTGGGCCAGGCACGCCCACTGAACACCGTAGTTGTTTTACCAACTCCTCACACAGGGTGGAAGACTATTGTGCGGCCAGGCGCGGCTGCCTGCGCGCGCCTGGCAAGGCGGCAAGGCCAATGAATTACAGCACAGTCCCGGACTGTACCGTTCGAGGGCATCACGCGCGCGGGTCGCCCGCGCGCACGCGGCTGGCCGCTCACCAGCCCTTGCCGTACGGCGCGTAGCCGCCCTTGCCGCCCTTGTCCTTGCCCTTGCCCTTCCCCTTGCCGCCGCCGCCTCCGCCGCCGGAGTTCACGTTCACTGCCTTGTACTTGCCCTTGCGGTCGTCGTACTCCGCGTCGTAGGACACGGAGTCGCCCTGCTGGCAGTCGTTCAGCGCGGGGTTCTCCTTCACGTGCGCGAACACGTCCTCGCTGCCGTCGTCGGGGGTGATGAAGCCGAAGCCCTTCTCCTCGAAGAAGTTCTTGAGGGTGCCGCGGCTCGACATGGCTCCAGCGAGTGCCTGGGCGAAGGGCTTGAGACCAAAAATGCTTGAGCCAAAATGGCTGCCGGGCGGCAGGCGAATGTGCTGACCCAGCTCACGGGGGGGGGGGGGGCTTCGAAAGAATCCAGCCGTCGGAGGTCCACGTGCTCCTCATCGTCTCGACCTACCTCAGGAGACCCAGACCTCGAGGCGGTCGCGAAGAAATCGCGGGCCCGAAACCAAGACGTAAAGATGTCAACCTCATCCCGTTTTGGGTGCCAAGTGACCCCACCGTTCCTCGGTGCACGCCGGTCGGAAGAAGTAGGTAGGAACATGAGGGTGAAGGACCGCGGTTCAAGTAAGCTTTCCCTAGACAGCTTTTCTGAAAGGGTTCTAGGTACATGGTCCAAAGAACTAGTAGGTGCGCTGCCAAATGCGGGATCGGGCGGGCGACATTACCTCCCGTTGCCTCCCATGGCCTCATGTAGCTGCCCGTTGCCTCCCGTTGCCTCCCGTGGCCTCCCGTGGCCTTCTGTGGCCTCCCATGGCCTCCCATTGTATCCTGTGGCCTCTCATTGCCGTCCCTATGCATATCCCTATCCCTCTATGTTCCTATATCACTATCCCTATCTCCCTGTCCCTATGCTGTTGGCATGCTCCAAGAAACTGATAGGTGCGCTGCCGAATCTGGGATCGGGCGGGCGACATTGCCTCCCGCGGCCTACCGTTGCCTTTCGTTGCCTCTCGGTGTTCCCTGTGGCCTCCCGTGGCCTCCCGTTGCCTCCCATGGCATCCCATTGCCGTCCCCATCCCATTGCCGTCCCTATCCCCCAGGATGCAGCCACACATAAGTCGTATAAGCAGATTTCTGACAGGACTGCGCTGCTAAAGATCAAGACTGGTAAAACAACACTCGACTTATTTACGATCTACGCCCCGCACAATCGAAAGCCGCTGCAAGAACGGCTCGAGTTCGATATCTCTTTGGACGCCGAATATAAGCGTTGCTCTGGGAACCAGGGGAAGCTTCTCGCTGGAGATTTCAACGCTGGACTGGGAATCCGGGGCCCTGGCGAAGACCACATCATAGGGGAGCACAGCTGGGGAAATCAAGCACTACACGAAGTGGAAATACCGAACAGAGATATATTTCTGGAGTTCTGCAAAGGCGCCAGGCTTATCGCAGCGAACACTTTCATGAACGCCCCCCTGGAGGAGAAAGTAACCTACATGCAAGCTAGTGCAATTCCAAACGGCATCATCACAGACAAGATGTACAACATTCTAGATGTTGTGTTATGTGAGCCATGTGCTTTGGACTGCATTCAACACTTACGGAGCCGTAGATCAGAAGCGCTGGCGACGGATCACTACTTGGTAGCATGCCGCATGGAAGTGCCTGCCGCTGACCACCGACAAGCGCCGGCAAGCAAGCAGCGCGCCCATGCCCTACGAGACGATTCCTCCAAAAAGCTATATGGAGATGTTTTCGTTGAGCATGTTCAGCAACAAGATGCTCAAGCATATTCTATTGATAATAACTTGTGGGAGAAGGACATCGAGCAGCTGTAGCAGCAACACCGGTGCTATCGGAGCCGCCACGAGAAGCAAAACGGCCATGGATCACCCAAACAACTTTGGAACAGATTGAGACAAGAAGTGAAGCCCGACTACGTGACGACAAAACGACTGAGAGACAATTGTTTAGAGAAGTGCGTAAGTCTTCAAAGCAAGACAAAACGAAATTGGTTGATGAGCAAATCGCCAGCGGCAAATGAACATGCTGAAAAGATGTTGCCGGGCCAAGCCGCGCAAACAGGGGGAGCTGCGGAATCTGGCAGGGGAGCTTGTTGATAGCGAAACCAGGGCTGATTGTATGGCAGAGTACCTGGAACAAGTTCAATGGAAAGTCTGGGCCGCGGAATTGACGGATGACGAAGTATGGGGCCCTACTCTCCAAGTTATCGACACGCCTTTCTTGCAGGCTGAGGTCGAAGCCGCAGTCAAGAAACTAAAGTGGGGAAAATCAGCAGGACCAGATGACATACCAGCTGAATCTTGGAAGGCTGTTTCACGTATTCCTGGAGGGTTGTGCTGGCTTACGGATCTCTGCAACGCGTGTTGGGAAGAAAAGGGCATCCCTACAGAATGGCAGTTATCGGCAGTCACCTCAATAAACAAGAACAAAGGCACAGTGGACAAATGCGAAAATCATAAACCCATCAGCTTGCTGTGAGTAGCACACAAATTATTGGCAAGTCTGCTGCTCCAACGCCTTCAAGATACAAGAGCTGAAGAACGCCTCACTCCTCCGCAATTTGGGTTCCGGCGCGGGCGCGGTACCTCAGATGCTGTACACGCAGTCCGGCGACATATCGAACCAGCTCACACACACGAATCAAATGGAGTGGCATTCCTTGCGCTGGGTTGGAAAAGGGCTTTCGACTCGATCAACCCGGAGGCCCTCCTAGACGCATTACGGATATCTGGTGTCCCGCAAAGCTGTCTGACGATTATTGGTAGCATTTACCAGGCGAGGCAGTTCTACGTGACCGAGGGGGCGCACAAATCCCAGCAACGACGCCAACTATCGGGAATCGCCCAGGGTTGCCTTCTCTCCCCGTTCTTATTTGTTATGCTGATGACAGTGGTCATGAAAGACGCCACCAGCAGATTGGAACAGCATACCAAAGACGTATTTTCGGCGGGAGAGTTGTCCGTATTGCTAAATGCAGACGACACGCTATTATTGGTGGGCCGTTGCCAACACAGACTGCAACAACTGCTGGGAGAAATCGCGGCTGCAGGCGCCAGGGTTGGTATGGAGCTGCACTGGGACAAGTTCCAGCTGATGCAAATTAATTGCGACATGCACTTACGACCCCCAGATGGAAAAGACATCGCTCCCAAAAGTGGCATGGTTTATTTGGGCGCCACTCTGAACAGCAACGGTCAATGGCATCGGAACTAAACAAAAAGCTTGGGGCGGCTCGGGGGGAATGTTGCAGATATTCTCGTGCATGGAAGCACACGTCAATTACTACAAACAGGAAGATGCAGATTTTTCAGGCTCTGATAACCACCAAGATCATGTGTTCCTTCAACTTTGCCTGGCTAAACAGATCTGAAAGACGAGGAATGGATGCGTTCCAAGCCCAGTGCCTCAGGAAGATCATGAACATACCTCATTCATATTGGTCGCATGTGTCAAACCAGACGGCTTTGGAAAAAACACATCAAATACCTTACAGCTCGCAGCTGCTACGACATCAACTTCTTTTGTGTGGTAAAATGGGGATAACTTGCGACGAAGACGTATTTAGAAAAATCACATTCGTGCCAGGCTCGGTCCAATCAACTACTACCGCATTGCGCAGGAAACCTGGGAGACCAGGGAACGAATGGGCGAAGTGCTTGCATGATCGAATTGTGACCGACTTCAGCACGGAAGGGGAATTATTGGAGTGCCTGCGCAATGCTACAACATGGAGAGATTACTCGTTGAACTTTCCAGGCCAGTGACAGCTTGCGCGAGCCGCCCTGTTTGAGCAAGCCCCCTGCCCGCCCTTCCCCGCCTCTCCTCTTCTCCACCCGCACATGATGCAGCTGAACAATCGGTGGGCGCGGCGCTGCTCCAGCAGAGCGGAGAGTACAGGCCTGCATCGTCTCGTTTCGCCCACGCACTCCAGCGTATGGCTTGACCGACTGACTGACGGATACCTATTCCTCCATCACTGTCCCTCGAACCTTCTCCCTCTCCCTTGTATCACTATCCCTATCCCTCTTCTCCCCATCCCCATCCCCATCTCGATCCCGATCTCTAGATCCTTTCAGCACTGAGTTACTATTCCCGTAACCCTACACCACTGGTCCGTATAGAGACAAACCCCCTCCCCCACCCGACTGGCGACAAACCCAGGCCAATGCCAACACACACACACACACACACAAACACGCACACACACACACACACAACCATCCCTGTAAAGCACATGGCAAGCTGCACGTTTCGCCACAATCTAGATCATGCGCGAACCTTCCGCGATCACGTAAGCACAGGACAAATTGCACTTGTCACCACAATCTGGATCATGCGCGAACGCCCCGCGATCACGCTGCATCGGTTTGTCGTAGGGACGGGAGGGGGGCTGGCGTATTGCCTGCTGTGTGCGATGCCAACACCCCCAGCCATCCCCCAAAACAATACACGTTGCACCAACATCTGGATCATGCGCGGACGCCACGCGATTACTCCTGTTTTTTGACAGGGTCCGATTACTGTTGGTTTTTGGCAAGGTCGGCGGGAGAGGGGGAGAGACGGCATGTTGCCTGCTGCGCGCAGGCCCACCATCAGTTTCAACAAAAAGTACAGAAAGTGCACTTTGCAAGGGAAGGCGAGCGGCTGGGCGGCGTAGTGCCTGCTATGCGCAGGCCCACCATCCCTGTCAAAAACAATTGCACATTGATTGCGGCCGCACAGCCACACACACACACACCATGCTGGCACACCATACTGCAGCTCGGGTGCGACTTCTGTGTTGGAAAGGCGGGAGTGAGTAAGACGGCTTGCGGGCGGGGAGCGTGCCTTGTTCCTTTCCCTACCCCTATCTCTATCGCTATCCCGATCCCCACACCGTGGCCTTGCATCGTGGCCCTCATCGTGTCCCCCCATCGTGGCCCTCATCTTAGCTGTGCAAAGCTGTTTAAGCTTGTCTGCCGCAAGGGCGCAAAGGATATCATGCTATCGCCCAGCCCCCAGAAAAGGAGGGAAAAAGAACAGCCGTTCGATTTTGGAGGCAGGAAGGCTCTTGAAGTAGATGATTCGACCTGCCATGCCCAGAGCACCTATACTTTCACCGACCGACGAGTAATGGAGAGGGGCTCGGAGGAGTGGAAGGGTTCGCCCCTGGGCTGCAAAGTCTACTTGGGGCGCCAGTGACCTCATTTGTAGACAATCCAGTCTCCGAGGGATCGAGGCGTGGGCCAGGCCCGCCCACTGAACACATTAGTTGTTTTACCAACTCCTCACACAGGGTGGAAGACTATTGTGCAGCCAGGCGCGGCTGCCTGCGCGCGCCTGGCAAGGCGGCAAGGCCAATGAATTACAATACAGTCCCGGACTGTACTGTTCGAGGCCAGCACGCGCGCGGGTCGCCCGCGCGCACGCGGCTGGCTGCTCACCAGCCCTTGCCGTACGGCGCGTAGCCGCCCTTGCCGCCCTTGTCCTTGCCCTTCCCCTTCCCCTTGCCGCCGCCGCCGCCGCATCCGCCGCCGGAGTTCACGTTCACGGCCTTGTACTTGCCCTTGCGGTCGTCGTACTCCGCGTCGTAGGACACGGAGTCGCCCTGCTGGCAGTCGTTCAGCGCGGGGTTCTCCTTCACGTGCGCGAACACGTCCTCGCTGCCGTCGTCGGGGGTGATGAAGCCGAAGCCCTTCTCTTCGAAGAAGTTCTTGAGGGTGCCGCGGCTCGACATGGCTCCAGCGAGTGCCTGGGCGAAGGGCTTGAGACCAAAAATGCTTGAGCCAAAATGGCTGCCGGGCGGCAGGTGAATGTGCTGACCCAGCTCACGGGGGGAGGCCTTCGAAAGAATGCAGCCGTCGGAGGTCCACATGCTCCTCATCGTCTCGACCTACCTCAGGAGACCCAGAGCTCGAGGCGGTCGCGAAGAAATCGCGGGCCCGAAACCAAGACGTAAAGATGTCAACCTCATCCCGTTTTGGGTGCCAAGTGACCCCACCGTTCCTCCTGAATCCGTGAGACTGGCATCAATAGGCGTCTGGCGCTGCGGGTGCCCGCTGGCGTTCAGGACCCCACAGGTCAGACGGAAACTTCGCAAACGAGTGCACGTCGGTCGGAAGAAGTAGGTAGAAACATGAGGATGAAGGACCGCGTTTCAAGTAAGCTTTCCCTAGACAGCTTGTCTGCAAGGGTTCTATGTTAAATGGTCCAAGGAACTAGTAGGTGCACTGCCAAATGCGGGATCGGGCGGACGGCATCACCTCCCGTTGCCTCCCGTGGCCTCATGTAGCTGCCCGTTGCCTCCCGTTGCCTCCCGTGGCCTCCCGTGGCCTTCTGTGGCCTCCCATGGCCTCCCATTGCATCCTGTGGCCTCTCACTGCCGTCCCTGTGCATGTCCCTATCCCTCTATGTCCCTATATCCCTATCCCTATCTCCCTGTCCCTATGCTGTTGGCATGCTCCAAGAAACTGATAGGTGCGCTGCCGAATCTGGGATCGGGCGGGCGGCACTGCCTCCCGCGGCCTCCCGGTGCCTCTCGTTGCCCCCCATGTGGCCTCCCGTGGCCTCCCATGGCATCCCATTGTCGTCCCTATCCCTGTTCCTCCATCCCTGTCCCTCGAACCTTATCCCTTGTATCACTATCCCTATCATCCCGCCCATCCCAATCCTCCCTCTCTCTCCACCAGTCCCTATCCCCCCATCCCCCCCCCGAATCCGCCATCCTTCCCCCCTCCCCTCCACCTATCCCCTCCATCTCCCCCTCATCATCCATCCTCACCCCTCCCTCCCCCTATCCCCCACCACCCTCTCCCCTCCCCCCCGTATCCCCCCTCCATCCACCCCGATCCCCTCTCCTCCCCCCCATCTCCCATCCTCTCCCCCTCCCCCCCCCCCAACCCTCCTCCCATCCCCTCCTCGCTCCTTCCTCCTCTCCTCCCTCCCTCATCCCTCCATCCCCTCCCCCCCCCTTCCCTCTCCCCCCCTCCCCCCATCCCATCCTCCCTCCCCCCCCACCCCCCTCCCCCTATCCCCTCCATCCGTCACTTTCTAGCCTCCCCATCCCCATTCCCATGTCGATCCCGATCTCTAGATCCTTTCAACACTAAATTGCGATCCCCGTAACCCTAAATCACTGTTCCTTATGGGCACACACACACCCTCCCCCACCCGACTGGCGACAAGCCCGGGCCAATGCCAACACCCCCCCCCTCCCAACCATCCCTGTAAAGCACAGTACAAGCTGCACTTTTCACCACAATCTGGGTCACGCGCGAACGCCCCGCGATCACGTAAGCACATGACACGTTGCATGTTTCACCACAATCTGGATCATGCGCGAACGCCCCGCGATCACACTGCATCGGTTTTTGGTAGGGACGGGGGGGGCTGGCGTATTGCAAGCTGTGTGCGATGCCAGCACCCCCCACCATCACTTCCAAAAAAAAAAATACACGTTGCACCAGCATCTGGATCATACGCGGACGCCACGCGATTATTCTTGGCATTTGACAGGGACGGCGGGTGGAACGGCATGTTGCCTGCTGCGCGCAGGCCCACCATTAGTTTCAACAGAAAGTGCAGTAAGTGCACTTTGCAAGGGAAGGCGAGCGGCTGGGCGGCATAGTGCCTGCTGCGCGCAGGCCCACCATCCCTGTCAGAAACAATTGCACAGTGGTTGCGGCCGCACAGCCACACACACACACACACACCATGCTGGCACACCATTCTGTCAAACACAATTCCACAACACCCAACACTGACAAACCCGCCGTCACTTTGCATTGGCTTTTGACAAGGAGGGTGGAAGGTCGGCATATTGCCCAAAGTGGCGCACCCGGTGTGCGTGGCGCATCTGGCATGTGCGGAGCACCTCGCGGGCTTCGCTCACCTGGCTGGAGTCTGCATTGGTTCCCGATGGTTGTCGATGGCGGCCCCTGCCTATGCTCAGGTCCCGGTGTTGCGTATGAAGTGGGAGGACGGTGTAGAGAGAGCGAGACAGCCTGCAGCGTTCTTGCTGGGAACTAGATCACTGCTCATTATTACGATTAGTATGCACCCTCTCCCCCTCCCGACTGGCGACAAACCCGAAACAAATGCGACCCCCCGTCACCCATTACCAAAAAACCATGGAAAGTGCACTCTGCGTCCAAAGCTTGGGCAATGCTCGAGGAGCCCGCGAGCACGTTGTATTGTTTTTGTTGACGGGGACGGCGGGGGTGCCAGCATATGGCCTGCTGTGCGCAGGGCCACCACCCCCGTCAACAAAAATACAAAGCGCATTTCGCGGCTCAATCTGGATCATGCGCGGGCACCTGGCGATCACTTTGCAGTGTTTTTTGGCCGCGACCGCGGTGGTGCTGGCAGATTGCCTGCTGTGCAGGCCCACCAGACACCATGATGGCCACCCCGCCGCGATTGCGCAATGGTGATCGACAACGATGGTGGGAGCCGACATGTTTCCGACGTGTGTTGTCACGTGCGCAGGCGCACCTGGCACACTCTGCGCGTGCCCCGAACGTGGCGCACCTGGCCCAGCTGGAGCACGCGGCACACATGGCGCACGTGGAGCACGTGACACATCTGGCGCACCATGCGTGCCTGGCACGCTTGGGCCCCAGGGGTGCCTGGCACACCTGGCGCGCCTCGTGGCGCACCTCGCCCCAGCGTCACGCACATGGGGTCACGCCATCCAAAGACGAGCGCTGAACATACTGCAGCTCGGGTGCTACTTCTGGCTTGGAAGGGCGGGGGTGAGCAAGACGGCTTGCGGGCGGGGAGCGTGCCTTGCTCCTTTCCCTACTCCTATCTCTATCGCTATCCCGATCCCCACACCGTGGCCATGCATCGTGGCCCCCTATCGTGACCCCTCATCGTGGCCCTCACCTTAGCTGCGCAAGGCTGCTTAAGCTCGTCTACCGCAAGGGCGCAAAGGATATCATGCTATCGCTCAGCCCCCAGAAAAGGAAGGAAAAGGACAGCCGTTCGATGTGGATCTAGGAAGGCTCTTGAAGTAGATGATTCGACCTGCCATGCCAGGAGCACCTATATTTTCACCGACCGACGAGTAATGGAGAGGGGCTCGGAGGAGAGGAAGGGTTCGCCCCTGGGCTGCAAAGTCTACTTGGGGCGCCAGTGACCTCATTTGTCGACAATCCAGTCTCCGAGGGATCGAGGCGTGGGCCAGGCCCGCCCACTGAACACCGTAGTTTTTGTTCACCAACTCCGCACACAGGGTGGAAGACTATTGTGCGGCCAGGCGCGGCTGCCTGCGAGCGCCTGGCAAGGCGGCAAGGCCAATGAATTACAGCACAGTCCCAGACTGTACCGTTCGAGGGCATCACGCGCGCGAGTCGCCCGCGCGCACGCGGCTGGCCGCTCACCAGCCCTTGCCGTACGGCGCGTAGCCGCCCTTGCCGCCCTTGTCCTTGCCCTTCCCCTTCCCCTTGCCGGGGGGGGGGGGGGGGGGGGGGGGGGACCGCCGCCTCCGCCGCCGGAGTTCAGGTTCACGGCCTTGTACTTGCCCTTGCGGTCGTCGTACTCCGCGTCGTAGGACACGGAGTCGCCCTGCTGGCAGTCGTTCAGCGCGGGGTTCTCCTTCACGTGTGCGAACACGTCCTCGCTGCCGTCGTCGGGGGTGATGAAGCCGAAGCCCTTCTCCTCGAAGAAGTTCTTGAGGGTGCCGCGGCTCGACATGGCTCCAGCGAGTGCCTGGGCGAAGGGCTTGAGACCAAAAATGCTTGAGCCAAAATGGCTGCCAGGCCGGCAGGTGAATGTGCTGACCCAGAACACAGGGGGGGAGGCGTGTCTCTCTGGGGTCCGAGACACCGGCTGCCTTGGCCCCCCGCCCCCACGCACCTTACAATTTCTGGGAATCCGGGGGGGGGGAACCACATTGGGTCCCAGAATCCCCTTGAAGACATCTTCGCCAGCGTGGGCCCCGAATTGCGTTTTTACTGCACTCCCGAAACGCACTCGATGTGGTGCCATCTACGCGGTGCGACCCACGTGGTGCCAACTACGAGGTGGAAGCTAAACCAGGAATAACTGATAGACCACCCGACGGGTGACAACTAGCATCTTTGACTTGCATTGGCGAGTAGATACAGGTTCCATCTACCTGTCGATCTGTCCGTCTGTCCAGAGGTCGATCGACCGTTGTACAGCTGCATGGACATACATACAAGACTCTCCCCATACATATCCATAGACATACGCTGGCCAAAACTGATTGCACACGTGTATACGCATGTAGGTACGACGCATCTAGATACACATTGTTTGGTTGAATGGTTACCCCCCCAAGGACCATCCACTTTTCCCCACTCATGGATGTTCCATAGTCTCCGCATTGTACAAGCGATGAACTCGATGAACTCTCACCGCGATGTACGCTTGAATGGTTTGCGTTGGCGGCCGTTGGAGGCTCTAAATCGAACGCAGCAGCGGAGCGGATATCTTTGTAGTGTTGATTGTTGCTGCCCGAGAGCACGACTTACGAAAAGCATGGCAGTTCTCCGTCGCCGAACCCTCGCTGATGCGGCAGAGGGAAAGTGATGTACAATACCAGGTTGCCTATGTTTCCAATTCTCTGGAGCCGAACCATCGTTGATGCGGCATAAGGGACATGCTGTAGACTCTGATTTCCAATGTTTCCGATTCTCTGGAGCGAGACCCTCGTCGATACGGCAGAGTGGAAAAGCTGTAAGATCCGATGCTTCCCATATGTCCCATCCTTTGGCGCCGAACCGCCTGCAGCATCGACGAGGCTTCGGCGCCAGGGGATTGGAGGTGGTCTAGGGAGGCTCCTCTTCCGACCCCCTTCTTCCCCTTCGGGGAGGGGTTGAGAACTGTTCTTTATTAATATACACCCCCTCCCCCACCAGGCCGGCGGCCAACCTGGAACCATGCCGAATCCATGCGGGCCCGCCCCCCACCACCCCTGCGAACAAAAACAATACAAATCACACGCTGCCTCCACATGTGGAGCATGCGCGGACAACCCGATGCGGCCCCCCCCACACTCCTTGTCAAAAAACAATGCGAAGCACACTTTGGGGCAAAGTCTTGAATCGTGTTCGTGAGGCCCGCGAGCACTTTGTATTGTTTTGACAGGGGCGGCGGGGGTGTCAGCATAGTCCCTGCTGTGCGCAGGGCTACCATCCCTGACGAAAAAGACGATACACCATGCACCTCGCAGCTAAATCTGGACCATGCGCGGCCATCCCGCGATTACTGTCAAGTGGTTTTTACAGGGACGGCGGGGGTGCTGGCGTATGGCCTCCAGGGCGCCTGATGCTGTTATACTGAACTGCTTGCACCACTGGAGTGTTCGGTGTGACTTCGACATGTGCGCGCATGTGGACGCTGTTAGTGCTGTCTCGTGGGATGTGGCATTTTGACACAAACCCGTGCACGTGCATAGTACGATAGGGACGAAGGGGAGGATACCGTTCGCCCTCCTGGCACGGTCTTGAATTCATATGGACAAGGAGCGGCGAGGCAGAACCATATGTCATGAGCAATGTCCCAGGGGGGGGAGCGACAAGTATGGTCTTGGGGGGCATAGATCTTCCTTTGTTTGAAAAGGAAGTTGATTCCTTATGAAGAACCCGAAGTCGCCAACTCCACTGCTCGCAACAACGATGATGAGTAATAATAGCGATGCCGCTGGCGACGATGACGATGACGACGGCAAGGCCAACGACGGCGCCGATACTGGTGACGACGGTGACGACGATGATGTCCATGTCTCGGAGATGAAAGCGATTGTGCTCATGTCTCGGAGATGAAAGCGATTGTGCTTATGGTAGCGGCAGTGGCGGCGATTGACGATGACGATGACGGCGGTGATGCGATGGCGCTGATGAAGGTGATGAGGGAGTGCACGCGCACAGAAATTCAACAATTACGGCAGTCGTTTCATTCAAAAACTCTTGGTTGTTATACGTGTTTAAAAAGATGTTCCTGATTGGCTTCGGAAACGTAATTCTGGACGGACCTTGACACGCGCGCGCGCGTGGTGGCGGGCGCTCGTCTTATCCGCATTGTATGACTCGACACGGATTCGTGCACAAGGCGCATGCTAGATCAACGGATGCACCGCGTGGCGATTGCTAAACCGTATGGTGTTCGCACAAGTTCAGCAAGTGCGCGCTGGCAAACAATCTGCAAGACTCCGTAAACAAGCAGTGGGTGTGTTCCATTTGTTTTGCTACTGGAAGCTTGAAAGACTCATCTCTTTGGTAAGATCTCGATTTGTGTTTAACCCTGGGCGCGGGGGGGGAGTCGAGTCGACGGTCGGGAACGTTTGCTTAGCGTGTTGCGGCGGCCGCCCCGGCGACACTCTTTTCCTTGCATGGGAATAGCGTGTCGCTCCGATCCGCGGGGCGGGAGGCTGGGAAAAGCTCGCGACGTTGAAGCCTGGAGGGTGGGAGGTGGATACCGTTTCACGCCGAAACGTGGTGGGCCAGAATCGGCAGACCGTCACGCGAAGCCACAATTCCTGACCGTTGTTTCTTCTTTCAGCGGCTAGCGAGGGGGGGAAGTGGGAAGGAGAAGGCCCTCTCAGAAGGCGGCGGGGCTTCTCAGAAGCCCTCGCGCCTTCTGAGGGAAATGCTCTGTGCCTCCGTGAGAAAACTCCTCCGAGGGCTGGGGGACTCCCGAGCCTTCTGAGAAGGCCCGCCGCTTCTCTCTTCCCCCAAGGGGGCTCGCCGCCACGCCCTTCTGAAGCCAAGGTTTAGGTCGGGCATGTCGCCCACAGGCCAGTTTTCAACGAAAAATAAAAAATACTCAGAAGATACCCCCAGATGATCAAAAATTATGGAAAAACATCGTCCCCCGACTATTCCTGGGTAGTCGAAGCCAATCTGGCGCCAATCTGGCAGGCCCAATCTGGCAAACGGGGGCAATCTGGCGAGGGAGCCAGCGCGAATCCAGTCTGGCGAATCACCCAAATCGTCCAGCTTGGCCAGGCCAGATTGGCCCTTGGGGCCCAGTCCAATCTGACAGTCTGGCCTTCGACTACCCAGTATTCTTTCACTACTTTTGATTCGATTCCTCCTGTTGAGGGACACGCCCGACTTCAGCCAAGGTGCGCCGTGAAATGCACGCCGCCGCACGTGGCGCCCACGGGGTGCCCCACGGGGCGGCGGCCCGGCGAGCACCTCCGAGAGAGAGAGAGAGAGAGCACGCCGGGCAGCGCCCGCGCGGGGAGGAGCACACCCAAAGGGCACGCAGCGGGGCGGCGACCGCGGGCGCGAGGCGCCCCCCGTGAGGGGAAGCGCCGGCCGACCCGCGGGGCGCCCACGGGTGCACGGCGTCCGCCGGGGCCGTGGGCGACCCGAGGGGGAGAGAGAGGAGGAGGGGGAGGAGGGGGAGGGGAGGGAGGAGGGAGTGAGGAGAGGAGGGAGGGGGGGAGGAGGGATGAGGAGGAGGAGGAGGAGGAGGAGGAGGAGGAGGAGGAGGAGGAGAGGGGGAGGAGGGAGGATGAGGAGAGGACGGAGAGGCAGGAGGAGGAGGTGGAGGAGGAGGGGGGGAGGAGGGGAGGAATGAGGAGAGGAGTCAGGAGGAGGAGGAGGAGGAGTGGATGAGGAGGGAGGAGGTAGGAGGAGCAGAGGAGGAGGAGGAGGAGGAGGAGGAGGAGGAGGAGGAAGGATGAGGAGGAAGGAACAGGAGGAGCAGGAGGAGGAGAAGAAGAAGGAAGAGAAGGAGGAGGAGGAGGAGGTGGAGGAGGAGGGGGGAGGAGGGCGACGGCGGACGGCGGTCGGGCGAGATTTAGGTCGGGCACGTCCTCATACAGGCGGATTTGGGACGAAACTAGAAAATGGTCAAAAATAGTATTCAATAATAGTCGAAGATAGTCGGAAAATCATCCCCTGACTGCTTTTTGACAGTTTTTGAGTGTTCCTCCTGTAGAGGGACATGCCCGACTTCAGGCGAGATCCCCGACAATGCGAGCCATCGAACGAAGCGCCCACGAGGCGCCCACGGGCGACCACGATGAGACGAGGCCAGAACGAGGATCAAGTCGGATGGGGAGAGATCGGATATTCGAGAATCCCTGAGATCCGGCGGCCCTGGAGGATGTCTCGGGCGCTGCGGCCTGCTCAGAGCCTCCCGGAGCGCTCCGAGAGCGTCCCGGAACGCTCTCGGCACGGACTCGTCCCCCCGTCTCGGCCCTTTCCCGACGGTGCGAGCCCTCGAGCGAAGCGCCCACGAGGCGCCCACGGGCGGCCACGCGGCGAACGCCCGGCAGTGCCAGCCGACGCACGTGGCACCCACGAGGCACCCACGGGCGGCCACTGGGCGCAGACCTGGGCATGCCACCAGACTCGCAGGAGCGCGGGAGGGAGCCTGCGCAGGCAGGCCCCGGGGAAGCAGGAGCCCTTAGTAGTGCAAGCGCTGATTGTAGGTAGACCCCTTTGGGACTCGCAGTGGCACGTTTGACCCTTTGGAGGCCTGTGGCAGGAGAGCCCGGAATCGAATCGATAAGTCGGATCGGCAATCGACCTGAATCGAATCGACGGAAATTGGCAGCCGAGTCGGGAAAAGTCGAATCGGCAGACATCGGCAGGCTAACATGCCTCCATTGAGAAATCGGAGCCCAAATCGGAATCCGAAGTCGAATCGAATCGGAATCGGAGGCCATCGACATCGAATCGAGTCGAATCGGAGGAATCGCAACGAGCCCTGTGTGGGGTCCGTCTTTCTGGAACCATTGCGACTACAGATTGTTCACTCGCTGGGCTACACAAAGAAGACGGCGAGCTCACAGCCCACCATCTGGACAAATGCGGCTCACTGGTGGCAAGCATTCTCGCTGCTGCCCTCGCCGCCAGCACAGCAGGGACCTGGAACGCCTGTGCTTACCAAGCGGAGTAGCCTTTGCTTTTGCCCTTGCCCTTGCCTTTGCCACCGCCGCCGCCGCCTCCACCTGTCACCCTGCAGTTGACGCCCTTGTACTTGCCCTTGCGATCGTCCCACTCCTTGTCGAATGTCACTGCGTCACCTCCTGAGTCGATTCCGTCGAGCTCTGGGTTGTCCTTGACATGCACAAAGCAGTCATCACTTCCGTCATCTGGGGTCACGAAGCCGAAGCCCTTCTCGGCAAACATACTCTTGAGGACACCTGATGAAGACATGGCGCCGAAAGGACAATGAGCACGATTAGTGGCGCTGGCACTCGACTCTCCTTGGGCCAAAATGGCTGCAGACCCCATCTTGGGCCCCCCCTGAGCTGAAAAGTGAAGAATCTACAACATGCCAAGAATATACTAACTGCCCAGAACCCGTTCGATGCCAGCCCGCGTGTAGCCCACGTGGGCACCAAACAGTGAGTGCACGATCGAAGTGAGAGCTAGGCGATGAAAGCTGTGTGGCGTACGTCATGCAGTGCAGGCTATGTGGTGCAAGCTGGAGGTGTAAGCTCTGTGGTGCGAGCTGGAGGTGGAAGCTATGCGGTGCAAGCTATGTGAAGTAAACCGGGAGGTGGGACACTCTACGGTGTAAGCCATGTGGTGTACGCGTCTTGTTCCACACCGACCACACACGCACGCACCACCTCCGTGCGAGAGGGTGCACGCTTCGCAGGCTCCCGCGGCAAGCTGCTTGGTGCAAGCTGTGCGGTGCAAGCTGTGCTGCGCAAGATGTGCCGCGCCCGCGAGCACGAGGCGCCCACGAGCGGGCGGAGGAGGAGGCGGAGGAGGAGGCGGAGGAGGAGGAGGAGGAGGAGGAGGAGGAGGCGGAGGCGGAGGCGGAGGAGGCGGAGGCGGAGGAGGCGGAGGCGGAGGCGGAGGAGGAGGAGAGGAGGATGCGGAGGTGGCGGAGGAGGGAGGAGGATGCGGAGCGGGGCGGAGGAGGGAGGAGGAGGGGCGAGAGGGCGAGGCGGAGGAGGAGAGGCTGAGGAGCAGGGAGCAGAGAGGAGGTAGGATGAGGAGGAGGATGAGAGGAGGGAAGGGGATAGAGGAAAGGACATAAGAAAGAGGGAGAGAAAAAGGAGAAACAAAGAAGAAAAGTAGAATGGAAATAGAGAAAAAGGAGGGCAACAATAAAGAAAAAACAAAAAAAGGAAAGACAAGTGTTGAAAAGAAAAGACAAAGACAAAAGTTAGGTCTTAGTAATGCTTATTCCACCCGCCCCCACCCCTCCGCCTTCTGCCCCCCCCCCCCCCACCCTCCCCGCCCCCTCCCCTTCCCCTCCCTCCCCCCCCCCCCACCCCCACCCCCTTTTAATCGTACGACCCCGCGCGATCTCCCACCGGGCGCCCACAGGCGGGCAAACGCGGGCGAGACCTCGGCGGGGACCCGTCCCCCCGAGAGCGCGCGCGGCGCCCACGGCCGTGCCCGCGGGCGGGCGCGCGGCGAGACCCGCGGCCCGAGCAGCTCGATCGCTTGGAAGCCCACTCCTCCTCCTCCTCCTCGCTCCTCCTCGCTCCTCCCCGCCTCCTCCTCCTCCTCACCACCTCACCTCCTCCTCCTCCCTCCTCCTCCTCCCTCCTTTCCCTCAGCCTTCCTTTCTCCTCCTCCTCCCACCTCCTCCACCTCCCCCCTCCTCCCCCCCCTCCCATCCTCCCCCCCTCCACCCCCCCCACCCCCCTCCCCCTCCTCCCCCCCTCCTCCCCCTCCTCCTCCCCTCCTCCCCCTCCCCTCCTCCTGCGAGTGCAAGCACTGCTCGGGGAAGAAACGAGCTCTGGAAGCAACTCGGCTTCCGGTTGCACGGCCACCTCTGCAGTCTTTTTCTCCTGGAGGGTCAGGAGCTTGCGGGCAGCCTTTCGCGGCGGCGGTCCTGGCGGCACTCTCTTCCCTGCGAGCCGGTCGCGCGTCGCTCCGCTCCGCGGGGCGGGAGGCTGGGAAGAGCCCGGAACATGGACGCTTGGGAGAAGGGGCATGGATAGATAGTATGTATGTCGCGTCGAAGCGCGGTGGGCCAGAACTGGCGGCGCGACACGCTGAGCCAGTTCCTGACCGTGAATGTAAACACTGCTTGGCTAAGGAACGAATCATTGGAACCACGTTAGTTTTCAACTGCCCTCTCACCTTCTCCATCTGTCGCTGCGCCGCCTTTTCTGAACGCGCTCAAGTAGACGAAGCCGACACCACAATAGACCCACGGCGAATCCTGCGTCCCGCGCCCCAATAAACGAAAACGGCACCGCGGCAAACCCACGGCAAACCCTGGGGAACCAAAAGGTACCGATACCGCTACTCCCTGGACCTACCTCGGGGAGCGTCGTGACCAGAATCTCGATACGAATCCGGCGGTGGCGACGAGGCGAGGGCAGGGCCGCCCAGGAGGCCCGAAGAGGCAGAAACGAGGCGAGGGTAGCGGTACCGGTGCCCGAGTCCCCCTCTGAGAGCCCACCGCGTCCGGGGCGGCGCTGGCTCTGGTGGCCGAGGCGTCCTCCCCAAGACGAGAGGCCGTGGGGCCAGCCTCGGAGCGTGGTCCGGCCAGGACCTCGAAGTGAGCCCAGCCTCGGCGACGACGGCCCTCTCGGAGAGGCTCAGGCATATCGATGCTCCACCTCCCTTCCCCTTCTCCTCCAGCCTCCTCCTCCTCCCTCCCCATCCTGCCTCCCCCGCCTCCTTTCCGTCTCGTCTCCCTCCCCTCTACTCTCCTCCTCCGCATCCTCCGCCTACGCCTCGGGGGCAGCACATGGCAGGTCGACGGCCAAGCCTCACTCCTCCCGCGCCTCCTCTTCAACCTCCTCCTCCTCCTCCTCCTCCTCCTCCTCCTCCTCCTCCTCTTCCTCCTCCTCCTCCACCTGCTGATTGATCATTGCTCTCCGCACAACCTGCCACCTTGGACTACTCGTCCGTCTCCTCCTCCTCCTCCTCCTCCTCATCATCATCATCATCATCATCATAATCATCCTCCTCCTCCCCCTCCTCCATCACCTCCCTGTCGCACCCCCCAGACGTGTGGGTTTGGCGGGCCGGGCGTTTTGCTCGAGGCTTCCCCACCGCGTATGATCCTGAAGAAAATTTGCAACAGCTTCACGGATGGAGAGCGGCTCATGTTCAACATGTGGCTATCGCCTTAGCGCCGCGCACCTTCGTTATAACAGTTTCCAACCTGATTCACGGATGAAGCTCGGGCCGTCTTCAAAATTTGGCTCTCGCCTTAGCACCGCGCACGTTCAACTTCAAAGCTCGCAGCAGCTTAAGCATGGAGGGCCGCTCCACTTCAAAATGTGGATCTTGCCTTCGCGCGCGAACATACGTCTCGAAAGTTTTTAACAGACTGGAGGATTCGAATGGTTGGAGTCCCAGGGCTGGTGTTCTGGCACGATTTAGGATTGTAAGGACACACCAGTCACGTTCATTCGCGGTGTTGGAATCCCAGGAAAAGCGCCCTGGTACGTATTCCGGTTGTTAGGACGCAACAGCCGTGCAAGTTCGAGGCGCTGAAGTCCCAGGAATGGTGATCTGGCACGATTGACAATTCTCAGACGTTCATTTTCCAACGAGGCCCTTCTGGCAATGAGAACCAAGTATTGCAGAGACCTGTGAAGAGGGAACTTGAACGAAGGGCCCATTGCAGCATCATCGATGCGCCTTGGGTTTGAACTGATCTTCCTCCTCCTCCTTCCTCCTCCTCCCTCCCCGCCTTCCCCCCTCCTCCTTCCCCTCTCTGCTCCTCCTCCTCCTGCCCTCCCTCCCTCCTCCTCCTCCTCTTCCTCATCATCACCCCTCAGATTCCTCTTCGGGCTCTCCTCACATCATCATCATCAGGCTCCACTCATTCTCCTTCCCCTCCTCCTCCGCCTTCCCCCCATCCTCCCCCCCGCCTTCCCCCCTCCGTCGGCTTCCCCTCTCTGCTCCTCCTCCTCCTGCCCGCCCCGCCTGTGAGGCGGGGACTTGTCCACGGCCACCGCCTGGAGATCCTTCTTCGGGCTTCTCGGCAGGCGGCGGATCATGGGCAACCACGGGGAGGAGGAGGAGGAGGAGGAGGAAGAGAGGAGGAGGAGAGAGACGAGAGGAGGGGACGAGGTAGAGGAGGCGGAGGAGAGAGAGAGAGGGGGAGGAGGAAGAGGGGGAGGAGGGGGGGAGATAGGGGGAGGAGGAGGAGGAGGAGGAGGAGGAGGAAGGAGGAGGAGAGGAGGAGAGGAGGAGGAGGAGGAGGAGGAGGAGGGGAGGATAAATTCGGGCCACTGTGGAGAGGGCAAGCATACCCATGTCCACCGCCCGCCGAGGCTCCCGAGGATCGCTGCCCCGGGAGATGGCTATGGATATATAGATCCCCGCCTCGGACCATTGCCCCCCCAAAAAAGACCACGACGCCGCCGATCCTTCAGCACCTTCTCGCCCTACTGGTCTTCCACCTCCTCCTCCTCCTCCTCACTCCTCCTCCTCCTCTCCTCCTCCTGCCTCCATCCTCCTCCCACCACCTCTTTCCTCCTCTTCCTCCGCCGCCGGCTCCGCCCTCTCCTCCTCCTCATCCTCCTCTTCCTCCTCCTCCGCCTCCTCCTCCTCGTCTTTATCCTCCTCCTCCTCCTGCTCCTCCTCCTCCTCTTTCCTCCTCCTCTTTCCTCCTCCTCTTTTCTCGTCCTCTTCCTCCTCGTCCTCCTCCTCCTCCTCCTCCTCCTCCTCCGCCCCTCCTGCTTTGGCTTCTCCCCTCCTCTTCCTCCTCCTGCCGCCCCAAAAGAGGCCACGGCGCCGCCACTCCTTCAGCACCTTCTTGTCCAAGCCCGGGCTCTCCGGAACGCCCCCTCGCGGAGACTGCCGCGCCCCGGTGCTCGACCGGCCCCTTCGCGCGGCCGCGGCGGCGGGGAGGAGGGAGGGCCTTGTTCGGGCGAGTTGTCTTACATGGCGGTTCCGGAGACCCTGAGCCCCCCCAATTTGCCATATATCTTTGGGGCGCATGCTTCACGTCTGCCGGCTTCTGCCGGCCGTCCGCCGCTTTCCGCTGGCGGAGGCGGCCTCGTTGTGCTTCGTGCCGCCGTCCGCCCGCCTTCCGCCGCCTGCCGCCGAGGAAGAGACGGCAACTCCTTCGATCCTCGAAGGCGAGGCCTTGTCTGGACCGCCTGGCATGGCACTTCCCCGCCGCCCCTCCCCTCCCCCCCTCTCCGACGCCATTTCCAGGCAATGCTGGGCCCAAGGGGTGTGGAAGTGAGTCCTGGCCTGCGTGAAATCCAGGCTCCCTGTCGGGGGCCTCGGACTTCCTCGGACGGGGCTGGGACAGGGGTAGATCCGCTCCAGAGCGTCCGCAACGCTCTGAGAAGGCCGCGGCGCCCGAGACATCCTCCAGAGCCGCCAGATCTCAAAGCTTCTCGACTTATCTTCACTCGAGGTTATCCTAGCCCTGGCTTCTTCTCACGCCGAAACATCACCGATAAATCGGCGATAGGCCCCCGATAGTGAATCCGCACGTTCCTGGGCAGGTTGGGGCTATCGGGCCTCTATCGGCGATCAATGGGCGATTGGGGGTCGATGCATCCCTCTTGCGCCTATCCCCATGCATCGTTGCCCCTGACCCTCCCCCTCCCATGCACGTAACCTTGCCAGAAATCTAAAAGGAAAGCGGCAGCCGAGGAGGAGCCGCGGCGAGAGCGGAAGGGCATGGGAAAGAGGTTCGCAGGCAACGCACGGAGGCTTCTGGCCGTCCCTGTGGCGCCCGACAACGCCCCCCATCGCGTGCAAAGCGGACATATAGTCAAAAACTGATAGCAGCGATGCGCGATAAGGATGCAAGCCTCTTGCACGCGCACGTCGAAGCTTTCTCGAGCGCGGCGGGACATCAAAAGTAGTCAAGGATGGACCATCGAGGCACAGACGCAAGGGTATCATTGGGAAGTTTATCCATACATCCTTATCATGTGTGTCGACTGTACTGCATCTCCTTCACATGGCGCTGTTGGGCGCTATTTGGCGCTAGTTGAGCGCTATTTGGCGCTGCTTGGCGCTAGTTGAAGCGCCATGGGGGGCGATTCGCCAATATACAATCAATCCAAGACGGGCGGCAGCGCATGTGATCTACTATCTCAAAAGGAAGGGCCAGGTGGAACTCGGCCAATTAAACTCGGCCGATCTGAACTCGGCCGATCTAAACCCGGCCTGGGCCGAGATTCGCCTGGCCGAGTTCAGCTTGGCCGGGCTCAGTCTGGACGAATTCGGCAGGTCGACTTCAGCGTGGCCGAGTTCAGTCGGCCGAAATCAGCCCTGGCCGAGTTTAAGTGCTGCCGGAGGAGGGGGAAGGAAGGGGAGGGGAGGGGAGAGGATGGAACCGAAGATCGTTTAACATCGACCGACCCCGACCCCGACCCCAAGTCGTTATCACTAAAATTGCCACACCTTCTCGCTGCAAGTGTGGACCCCAAAAAGGCCAGAAGGCATCTCTTGACTTGCCATACAACGAAGCATTAGATAAAGCCCGCAGCGGTTTCACATCCTGATAGACATTAGCATCCGAACCTCGAACATGTCAACAACATCAACGAAAGCCCCAAATCACAAACCTCAACTCTGAGCCTGGCATCCGCATCAGAACGCCCATGCGCACCACGTGCAGACGCGGACAGGAAGACGAGGAGTGAGTGGGGGGGTGCTCTGCATGGGTAGAATTCGGACCGAAAAAAGGCCCGCCGCGAGCGCCGCATCTTCCCTCTCTTTGCGAGGGGGACGGGGGGGAGGTTTGGGGGGGGGGGCAATGTGCTTTCCACGCATGCCGAGCCCTGCGCCAACGTTGAGGCCCAGGCCGCAGGGGAGCGCCCAGGATGATGGAGGAGGGCCCCGACCTCCACAGCCACAGCACATCCCATGAGAAGCGGCACTGCCACGTGCCCCCGTGCAAAGGCATCTGAAGGAAATGCTCGGACCTCCTCCTCGACCTCCTGGACCTTCTCGACCTCCCCCTCCACCTCCTCCCCCTCCTCCTCCTCACTCCCTACTCCTCCTCACTCCCTACTCCTCCTACTCCCCCGCCTCCTCCTCCTCCTCCTCCTCCTCCTCCTCCTCCACCTCCTCCACCTCCTCCTCATCCTCATCTCCTCCTCCCCTCACTCCTCCTCCTCCTCCTCCTCCTCCTCCTCCTCCTCCTCCTCCTCCTCCTCCTCCTCCTCCTAGAAGGGCATGCGGCCGCTTACAGCCTGGAAGGACACGCAGTCGCAAACGCGGGCCTGTGAGCGTGGGCTTCCAGAAATCTCAGCCGCATCCTTCGCGTGGATGAGGTCAAGCCGTAGGTCTTTTGCGATGGGCCCTGGAGCCCGAAACGGACCCCCTGAGGCACAATCGGGCACCCGCTTTTCGGAGCTGGGTCTTTAGAACCTCCGAGGCCCCCTTGAAATCGTCCCCCACCCCTCACAGACCCGCGTCCCCCACAGAGCACCCTCCTCCTCGTCTTCCCTACGCATCCTCTATCCCACTCGTCTCCAACGGGCCCAAATAGAACCTGTTACAACAATACAACAATCCTCTGAGAGCGGATGACATCTGAAGAAATCCGCCCCCGAAAGCATCGTCGTCGTCATATCCTCATCATCGTCCGCCCCCTCCTCATCATCATCAGCATACTCATCAACATCATCAGAATTAGCATCATCATCAATAGCAGCATCATCCCCGCCAGCATTGACTTTATCATCAGCAGCATCAGCACCACCATCATCATCAGCATCGCAAACATGACAAACTGCATCAGCATCATCAACATCATCGGCATAAGCATCCTGAACATCATTGTCACCATCATAAGCAACAGCGCCATCTTCATAATCAGCAGCATCATCAACAAGATCGTCGTCGTCATCGTCGTCGTCATCCGCATCCACCGCAGCTTCCTCATCGCCGTCATCCTCAACAAAATGAAACACCTCACCAAACCATCACCAACACCGCCAACCCCATCACCCACTCATAATCGTCGTCGTGATGATCATCAGTATCATCAGCAGCAGCATCAGAAGTAACAGCACCATCATCAGCATCATCATCATCATCGTCATCATCAGCAGCAGCATCATCATCACCAGCATCGTGATCATCATCATCAGCAGCAGCATCAGCTGCATCATCTTCATCAGCAGACGCGTCATCAGCGTCATCATCAGCAGCATCAGCATCATCATCCTAGTCAGCATCATCGGCATCATCGCCATGAGCATTGCCATCCACGAGCAACAGCGCCACCATCGTCATCATCGTCATCAGCATCAGCAGTGTCAGCATCATCCTCGACACACTCATCAGAAACCCCATCAACGTGAGAATCGCTGTCCTCTCCTCATCGTCGGCATCCACAGCACCGTAATCAACCTCGTGATCAGCTACAGCATCATCAGCAGCAGCATCATCAGCATCATCAACATCATCATGTGCATCATCATCAGTATGATCAACATCGTCAGCAGTATCGTCACCATCGGCATCGCCATTGCCATCGTAAGCATCACCACAAACACCACCATCATCATCATCATCATCACCAGCATCAGCATCAGCATCATCATCACCATCATCGCCAGCGCCATCATCATCCTCATCGTCATCGTCAACAACGCCATCGTCATCAGCATCAGCATCATCATCAGCATCACCAGCAGCAGCATTACCATCGTCATTTCCATCAGCATCACAAACATCAGCAGCAGCACCGCTGGCAACTTCATCTTCAGCAGCAGCAGCTCATCATCAGCATCATGAACATCATCAAAATCGTCATCGTCATCATCAGCGGCAGCATCGTCAGCAACGCCTCCGATACCAGCAGCAGCAGCACCATCACCATCATCAACACCAACATCATCGTTGCCGCCGTCGCCGTCGCCGTCACCATTATCGTCACCCGCATGACCATGAGTGCGATCAACCGAGTCATCATCATCATCGTCGTTGCCAGCATCCTCTGCAGCATCATTACCATCAAATTACCCCAGTGCGACCCTACTTAGAAGTTGGAGCCCCTAGGAAAGCAGCAGTAGTTGCTATGCTATGCTATGCTATGCGATGCCATGCTATGCTGCGCTATGCTATGCTATGCTATGCTATGCTACGCTATGCTACGCTGCGCTATGCTATGCTATGCTATGCGAAGCTAAGCTAAGCTATGCTATGTCATGCTGCGCTGTGCTATGCCAAGCTATGCTATGCTATGCTATGCTATGCTAAGCTGCGCTATGATATGCTACGCTATGCTATGCTGCGCTATGCTATGCTATGTTATGATATGATTGGCTATGTTATGCTATGCCATGCTGTGCTAATGCAGCGCTGCGCTATGCTAAGCTAAGATGAAGGTAAGCTAAGCTAAGACAAACTTGAGCTAAGATGAAGCTAAGCTAAGCTAAGATGAAATAAGCTAAGCTAAGATAAGATAAGCAACGCTCAGCTAAGGGGACGTAACTGGGGGAACCGCGGGGCGGATACTGGGGGAACCGCCTGGGGCGAATTGCACTGCCCGGCCCTTTAAGCATACCGAATAAGAACCCTTCTGGGCAGAGCCTAGGTAGGGAATACATATGATCAGCAGCATCAGCATCAGCATCAACATCCCCCTTCCCCTTCCCCAACCCCATCATCAACATCCTCGTCATCACCATCATCATCAGCAACATCATCATCAACAACACCATCATCATCACCACCATCATCGCCACCACCAGCATCATCAACATCATCCTCATCGTCGTCGTCGCCACCACCGCCATCCTCACCATCATCAGCAGCAGCATCAGCCATATCATCAAAATCATCATTGGCAGCATCATCAGCGTCATCAGCGTCGCAGCCATCACCATCATCATCATCATCATCATCATCATCATCATCATCATCATCATCATCATCATCATCATCATCATGATCATCGTCATCATCAGTAGCATCATCATCGGCATTGTCCTCCACGTTCCCATCCCCCTCCTCCGCCTTCTCCTGCTTCTCCTCCTCCTCCTCCTCCGTCCTCCCACCTTCCTCCCCTACACTTCCTCCCTCTTCCCCCACTCACTCGTCCAGTCTTCCTCCCCGCTCCTCCTGGAGGAGGGGCGGGAGGACGTGGGGAGCTGGAGGCGAAAGGATGGAGGCCAGCAGCCGAAGCGCGGGCACGCCCCTCCTCGGAGACGGGGGCATCGGGATGCTGCTCTTCGCCTCGGGGGGCCGCCGGCCAAACCAGCCGTTCCCTCCCCCCTGCTCTTCTCCGTCGTCCTCCCCCCCTCCCCAGCCACCCCCTCTGCCTCCCGCTCACCCTCATCCTGCTGCTGATCCTCCTCCTACTCTCTCCCCCCCGTGCTCCTTCGCCCGTCCAAGCCCCTCCTCCCTCCTGATCCTCTTCCCCCCCTCCTGCTACTCGTCCTCTTCCTCCTGCAGCTGCTGCTGCTGCTCCCTGCCGCCCCCGCTGCTCCGCCTCCTCCTCCTCCTCCTCCTCCTCATGTTGTTCCTCTTGTTTGTCATTAACCTCCTCAACCTCCTCCTCCTCCTCCTCCCCCTCCTCCTCCTCCTCGTCATTCTCCTCCTCCTCGTCATTCTCCTCCCGCATCCTGCTCATGCTCCTCCTCCTCCCTCCTCCTCCTCCTCCTCCTCTCCTCCTCCTCTCCTCCTCCTCTCGCCTCCTCCTCCTCCTCCTCGTCCCCCTCCTCTATCCTCCTCCTCCTCCTCCTCCTCCTCCTCCTCCTCCTCCTCCTCCCCTCCTCCTCCTCCTCCTCCTCCTCGTGCTCCTCCTCCTCCTCCTCCTCTTCCTCCTCCTCCTCCTCCTCCTCCTCCTCCTCCTCCTCATCCTCCTCCTCCTCCTCGTCCCCCTCCTCTATCCTCCTTCTGCTCGTTGCACACCAGGGTTGCCTCCCTTCAGAGAGCGGGGCTACCTTACAAAAGCGACGGGCATGAGGCCAGAGAGGTCTCCCCTGCCGCCTGGCGGGCAACCCCAATAGCCACCCGCGGACCCAGGCAGTGCCCTGTGCGCCTCCTCGCCCTCCCCCCGCTCCCCTCTAACCTCGCCCCCTCCCCCCCTCCCCTCGGGAGGCAACAGAGAGGCGAGAGCGACAAACGTGGGAAAGTGGCTGAGGGGAGGAGCAGAGGAGCGAGGAGCGAGCAGAGGCACGAGCGCGAGGAGGGGGGAGCGGCGAGGGAACGACGGAGCCGCCAAGGACGGCGATAGGAAGGGCGGAGCAGCACAGAACCGGACGTCGGTGCTGCTCGCCGCGGGGCGCTGCGCTGAGCGTGCTCCCTCCGCCGCGCGAGGGCCGCAGCCCAGGAGCTCTGCAGCGCAGGCCTGGAGCATCACTGAAGGCGCGGCCCCGACCAGGAGCAGACCCAGGGTCGACCGCACGCAAGAGTGACCCTAGGCACGTGTGGCCTCCTCCTCCTCCTCCTCCGCCTCTTTCTCCTCGTCTTCCTCCTCTTCCTCCTCCTCCTCCTCCTCCTCCTCCTCCTCCTCCTCCTCCTCCTCCTCCTCCTCCTCATCCTCCCCTCCACCCTCCTCCTCCTCCTCCTCCTCCTCCTCCTCCTCCTCCTCCTCCTCCTCCTCCTCCTCCTCTCCTCCTCTTACTCCTCGTCTTCCTCCTCTTCTCCTCCTCCTCCTCCTCCTCTCCTTCCTCCTCCCTCCTCTTTCTACTTGTTCTTCCTCCTCCCTCGTCTCCTCCTCCTCGTCCTCCTCCTCCTCCTTCTCGTCTTCTCCTCCCCTCCTCCTCCTCCTCCTCCACCCTCCTCCTCGTGCTCCTCCTCCTCCTCCTCCTCCTCCTCCTCCCTCCTCCTCCTCCTCCTCCCCTCCTCCTCTCCTCCTCCTCCTCCTCCTCCTCCTCCTCCCTCCTCCTCCTCCTCATCCTCCGCCTCCTCCTCCTCCTCCTCCTCCTCCTCCTCCTCCTCCTCATCCTCCTCCTCCCTCTTGCACGCCGAACAATTGGCCGTGCGGTTGCCCCGAACTGCCACACGCTGGAGCGGACTGCCTCTGCCTCGCCGCCGACGGAAAAAAGTGCACAGTTGAGGCCCGACCACAAGAAACCTTCCACAAGAAACCCAAGACCCCAGGACGTCCATGGATTGTCGGTGTGGGAACATCGCTGTCTCCATCACCAAACCCTCGAAATCCAAGAAACCAAGGGCACCCTGCGGGCGAGCAGGGTGTTTCTTGACATGGGCCTCCACTGTAGCCTCGTGGATGCCACGACAATGGACACCGTAACAGTCCACCATCGAATTAAAAATGTGTTAAACATGTTTGAAACATGTCCTGCAAGTGCTGTAAACATGCCTTTACAGGCGTAAGACATGTTGAACACATGTTTAGGCATCTGGGAATTATTTGTCAACACGCTTCCTCTGCATTGATCGTCGTCCATTACTGTAGCCGACGGGGAGGGCGGGCACCACGAGCCCGTCCAACCAACTTGTGGCAATGAGGCGCTGCCTTGGTCACCTGGAACGGCGATCAGAGTATGCAATGCCTTGTGGCTAATGCCATGATGCGTTCTTAGCAGGGATCGCCGTACAGATTCCCACCAGTCCTCTGAGCAAAAGTGGATTAAGTAATTCGTGGTGTCCTCTTCCAAACACCTTCTTCGATTCGGGGAGGAGTACCCGCCCCCCATCTTCTCCCTTGGTATTGTTTGGGGGCGTCCCGCGAGGGGATAGAGCGTCCAAGATGGCCCAAGAGGGCTCCAAGAGGGCACCCGATGCTCGGCGACGTATCAATATGGCTTCCGCCATATACCTCCAAGAGGCCCGACGAGGGCCACAAGACGGTTCCAAGTGCCCTCGGAGCCCCCTCTGGACACCCCCCCATAAGCCAACATCCTTCAAACACCTGAAGAACAACGATGCTGTGTGTCTTCTCGCCTGTTCGCTTCCGATGCGTCAATGGGGCCTCAAGGCAGGAGAGGCCAGAATCGAACTGACAAGTCGAATCGGCGAGCTAAATCAATCGAATCGGCGGAAATCGGCAGCCGAGTCGGAAAAAGTCGAATCGGCGGAAATCGACAGGCTAGTATGCCTCCAAATAGAAATCAGAACCCACATCGGAACCCCGGTCGAATCGAACCGGAATCGGAGGCCGTCGACATCGAATCGAATCGAGCCGGAGGAGTCGAAACGAGCCCTGCCAAGGTGGCCCCAAGGTGGCCCCACGGTGGCCCCACGGGAGGCCCAAGAGGGGCACACGAGGCCCCCGACGCGGCGCCAAGGGCGCCTACGATCGGACCAAGGGCGCCCCAAGAGCGCCCCACGAGGCAAGTGAGATGGCCCTATGGGGGGGAGGCAGATCGAGGACCCCCCACCCATCCTCTGATCGATAGCCTCCAAGATGGCCCCCAGAGGCCTCCCAGGGCCCCCAGAAGGGCTCCAAGAGAGCCCCAAGAGGGCCCCAATACCACCCAACAGAGCCCCAAGAGGACCCGAAGGTCCACCAAAAAGAGTCCCAAGAGGGCTCCAAGAGGCGATGTTGAGGGCTGTGGCCTCGTCCTCGTCCTCCTCCTACTCCTCGTCTTCCTCCTCCTCGTCGTCCTTGCCGCCCTCTTCGTCTTCCGTTGCCTGCTGCTCCTCTTCCTCGTCGCGGTGGTCGTGGTCGTGGTGGTGGTCGTGGTCGTGGTCGTCGACGACGTCGTCGTCGTCCGTCGTCATCGTCGTCGTCGTCGTCTTCCTCCTCCTCCTCCTCCTCCTCCTCCTCCTCCTCCTCCTCCTCCTCCTCCCCTCGCTCCCCCGCGGGCCCCAGGATTACCCGAAGAGGCCCTCGCCCCCCACGGGCCCCAGGATTACCCTTGCTCCCAAAGATCTCTCTGTTCATCCTGGTTGCCCTTTTCCAGCCAGCTCTCATGGGCAACGTTTCTCAACGGGCTGGTGGGGATACGCGAAGCCTGAAGGACTTGGGACATTCCGTCACGTACTGCTTGCCGACGATGGCAACTTAGGAGTCGCGTTTGCAACCAAACTGCCCGTGATTCCAACGTGTCCAACACACGAGTTGATGCACTCGCCATCCGATGCGGAATGCGCGATAAGATCTGTCGGCACGAGAACACACGGGCAAGAAACTTGCCAGGCACAGCACCAAGCAGCAACATCTCGGTTGAGTCGTTGGGTTCAAATTTAAACTGGGATTCCGCCCTAGCTGGGCTCCGCTGGGACGAGGTTGCGTCTGGTCAGGTAAAAAAGCAATGGTGGCGGTGGTGGCTGTCTGTGAGTGTCATGCGCGTCGGCGCGGCCCTGGAATCTTCGGATCTTGAGCGCTGTTCTGAGGCGGGCTTCCATAACCTTCCATCGTGTTCACGGAACGTGGCTTCGCGGCGCAACCGCTCGGATCCCATTTCGCGGCGATGGCTTCCGTTGGATGCATGACGGAGTTCTGGCCACTCCGTACAGTGGTCGACACGGCGGCGATGATGCAGCTGGCTGCTTTTTTTGCTCGGGGCACCTGCTCGGGGCTGGCTGCGCCGACTCCAACCCTGCCTGTGCCTGCCGAATCACAAGCCTGGCAGGCTGCGGCCCGCGCTGGCCGCGACCGCCCGTCGCGACCGCGACCGCCGCCGCCTCGACCGCATCCGCGGCCGCTACCGCAGCTGCTAGCAAGAACTCGCGTAGAGGATGGTGCGTGGTGCAGTCGAAACCAAGACGACGCCCCCCAGTGTAGTGACTTGAGCGGCGTCGATGTCCATCGGCATTACACACAGTTGTCCAGCCTTGCGATGCGCAGCGCCACGCGCATGAGGTGCAGCGAACAGCTGGAGGCACGCATTCCCGCACAAAGCCAAGCAATGTGCCCGCAGTCGGGTTAACCGAAGGCCAACTGAAACCAAACTCGTGCACGAGTGACCATACGATATGATCGCAGTCGAGCCTTCTGTGACGGACCTGGGAACGTGTTGTTGGGGAAACTCCAAAAGAAATGGACCCGACCCTTCGTGCGCAAGGATCCATGGAAAAAGGTCCACTCTCCCGGCAGCCGAGCATTTAGTGAACGCGGCGGAAGATGTTCAAGACCTTCCACTTGAAAACTGTCCTGTCAAGAAAACAATACGCACACGGCCAAAATCATACGTTGCACTCAGCAGTCAACTCGGCCTGTCAGACTCAGCAAGCAGCTCACATACTTGATCTGGCAGCCTTCCTGGCTGCGGTTCGCCCAACTTCTCATCCTGACGAGGTGCATCGGCAGGAGACGTGACCACCTTGTGGACATGCCACGACTGGTCTAACTTCCATGTGGCGGGTCCCATAATCTTCCCAAGGCTGACGAATCTGTCGTCTATGGTTTGCAGCAACTGGAAGCAAACGACCAGAGCACCAGGCCTCAGAGAGTCACCGAGATGTCTCGCCATCATCCGCACGAGCTCCTGTGGGAACATCACGGAGTTCGAGAAGACAAAATCTGCATCTGCCACGTCAATCTCCGCGAGGTTCCCTTTGATCTGCCGCATCGAGCCGCCCGTCAAGGGTGGTCTCAGCTGTGGTGTGTGCCGCACTGCCTCCAGAGCCCTGCAGGCGCTCTGCCACCTCTGCGAAACCAGCTCGATGCCGGTGGCGTGCAGGCCCCACAGCCAGGCGATCATTGTGGCCTTGCCCGTGCCGCTGCCAAGGTCGTAAAATCGCTGACCGGGCTGCGCACCCAGATGGTGCAGCATGCCAAGCGTCCCGATGTTCAGCATCTCTCCATACACGGCAGCCGCCTTGTCTCCAAGGGCACTGGCGACTTCCTGCTGCGCTTCGGATCTGCTCTCAAGCGTTGGCGCGCGCACCACCGAGGAATTGCTGAAGATCTTGTCAAGCTCATCCAGCATGGGCTCCCACCTGGAGCCAAAATCAGGAACGTCGGGCAGCGGCAAAGCGTCCCATTTGCTGGTCAGCACCTCAAACGCCGTCGGCGTCTTCGGTGGCGGCCGACCTGCGGCAGCGCTGCAGGCCGCGCCCTCTAGGGGGAACACGTCCGAAGGAGGCGCCGTGGCAAGGCACAGCGGCGCCGAGAGCGTCAAGAGCCGCCACCTCATAGCACCATGGCGGAGAGGTCGGGAGAAGCTATAGCGGCAGGTTCGTGTCGTGCCGACTTCGGCGTAGGTCACTGACACCGCAGGGATCGTCCAACCTGGACCGATCGGCCGTTTCCGACACGGCAGACCGCTCAGCCTCGACCGATTCTGGGTCGCCGGCGGCGTTCAACCTTAAACGCCCGCGCTGGGGTCGCCGCTGGTCGACACGACACGAACCTACCGTAATATGATGCGCGCTTGAGCCACACTCTACATGCGCCTCGAAGACGACTCTCGTCATGCCGAAACCGCGAAATGAGTACTTCGGCCAAGATGCCATGCTCTGGCACTTTACCACCAGCAATAACCATCATCCGGGGCATCGCACCTGCAACGATTACACTAAGTGACAATGGCTTCCAAACATGGCATAAGTTCTGCGATTTACTCTGTGAATTCGACACGGTCTGTTCCAATGGAATCCGTAGTATTGAGAATAACTTCGAGCTGATACAACATAAAATGCAACAGCAACTTCCTAAGCTTGGTTCCAATACCGCTGACCCTTGCAACGTCGGTAGGGTGAACTAGTGGCAAAACTGGAGAGACAAGGGCTGGGGCCAAAGAATTGCGGCGCTCCATGTGGGCTTTCTTACGCCGGCCGCTCATCCAAACCAGGGCGCGCAGAACTCCCTGGGCCACATCGGCGTCAGCCAGGAGTTCTCCAGGCGCTCGTCTGGTCTCCTGGGGGCTATCAGAGCCGTGTTCGGGTGTTCCAGGAACCCGGAGCGGCCGTGGGAGCCAAGGAAAGCGCCACGATTTGGAAAAAACGCAACGACAGCATCCGAGGGCGGAGCGTGTTGAACACCAGAGGGTGTTGTTTTGCGTTGGGGCTCGCTCGGTTTGCGTTGGGGCTCTCCCGGGTGCTGCTTCCCACCTTGCCGGAAGCTTCTCCGGTGAGCCGGCCCTCGGCGCTCGAGGCGCTCGAGGAAGCCTCTCGGGGATGCCAGCGATGAAGGGGCCATAGGACACACAAATAAATGCACACAAATAAAGATATTCCCCATATTTTTTCCATATTTTCTGGGTTTCTGTCTTCCCCCCCACTCCCCATATTTTTGCATATTTTCCTGGGAGTCGACGATTAATTGTGTCTGTGTGTTTCTTTCCCTCCTGAAGCGAGTTTCTCCGACCTCCTGGGGGCTCTCCTGGGGCCCACGTTCTCCTCCAATCTCGGATGGGCTCTGGGACGCTCTGGGCATCTTGGGCCAGCTTCCACAGCGCGCGGCCGGGCAACTTCTCCGAAGGGGCACACACCCTGCGAAATGCTTAAGAAATCATGGGTTAAGAAACTCAGAGTCTCAGAATTTGAGAATAAAAACCCAGAACTTCTATCAAAATCTTAGGATCCACATCGAAACATTAAGAATCATCGAGACTCTCGCCGAAAACTTAGGTTTTCTTAAGCATCGCCTAGGGTGTACCCCTTCCGGGGGCCCTGAGATCCGACGCCGCGGACGAGACCGCTTCTTATCATTCGCGATCACGAGCGTGATCGGGGGAGAAAGGGGGGTCGGGCGAAAGGGGGGGATAGCAAAGGGGGGGTTTGAGAATCAGCTCACGTAGCTGATTTTCCAGGCGCCTCCCGGCGCCGGGGGGCGGCCATGTATCGAGGAATGGGCCCCTCGGCGGGGCCGAAACCAGCTGCACGCAGCAAATTTCGTAACCCCCCCTTTCCCAATCCCCCCCTTTCGCCCGCCCCGAGAGAAGGGGGGGGGGTCGCTCCCCCCCGGTCACAGCACGGCGGGGGGCCGCCGGAAGTCTTGGGACATCCTCGGCGGATCCGTGGGACATCTCTGTGCAGACGTGGGCAAACTGGCGCGACGTGATCCGTGGGAGGGGGGGGGCGGGCAGGGAGAGGTCCGATCGCGGCCTCGATCGCCCCGGCCTTGAAAACAAGAAACAGGTTCCTACTGGCGTCACAGAATCCCCACCAGAGGCTTCGACCCCGGCCCCTCCCGCGACAAGTTTTACACGGGATTGCTCCGCAAGGGCCCCAGGGCCACAAAGCACGGCGAACCCACCGATGCCAACAAAAACTACGGCGCCCCAGGTTTCAGGGGTGTACCGCCGAAAGTATGATCAAGAAAAGGGACCACTTATATCCAACAGATCTGGGCAAGCTTCTCGAAAGTTGCTTGAAGCAAACCTGGGCCAGTTTCTGTCGTGGACGCTGGAGGGGCGAACGCTCTCAAAAAACTGGGCCAGCTTCCCGACAAGCTGGTTAGGAAACGCTGGCCCAGCTTTTCGGAAGGAGGTTTCTTAATCAGCGGGTTTACTGTTCGGCAGGATCATGTCGCAATGACGTCCGCATTTGTCTCTGACACAGTGTGGGTCGTTCAACCTTGAACGATGCGGCTATCCGACAGCACCGACCGTTCGGTATCGGCCGTTTCTGGGCCAATCGAGGTGTCCAAATATCCGAGAGAGCGTGATCCACCGCGGCTTTACTGTGGAAAACTTCCCCCTTCTTCCTCCGGGTCCCCCCCCCCTCCGAAAATCCGCCCCCCCCCCCCCTGCTGGACCCCCCGCCCCCCCCCAGCGCAACCCCCCCCCTCCCCTATAGACCCCCCCCTCCCCTCCAAAAACCGGGGGGTCACTACCGGTTCGAACCCCCCCCCTCCCCCGGAAAACCGGGGGTCACTACCGGTTCGAACCCCCCCCCCCAGAGGAAGGTCACTACCGGTTCGAACCCCCCCACCCCCCTCCAGAAAACCAGGAGGGGGGGTCACTACCGGTTCGAACCCCTCCCCCCCCCTCCCCTTCAGAAAAACCAGGGGGGTCACTACCGGTTCGAACCCCCCCCCCCCCTCGAAAACCGGGGGTGGTCACTACCGGTTCGAACCCCCCCCCTGTCCCTCACCGCCAGCAAACCGACTCCCGGTCCCTACCACCGTCCGCACCACATCCCCCACTGCTGTTCCCAGCACCACTGTCCTCACCACCAGTCCCCACTGGTTCCACCACCGCCCCTACTGTCCCCACCAGTGCCCCCACCACTGTCGCACTGTCCCCACTCTCCCCACCACTGTTCCCACCACGGTTCCACTCTCCCCACTTTCTCCACGGCCCCAACCACTGCCCGACTATCCCCAGTATCCCCACTGTCCCACTGTCTCCTCCGCTGTCCCACTGAGCTGTCCCACTGTTCCCACCACTGTCCCCAGTGTCCCCACCACTGTCCCCACTGTACCTCTGTCCTATTGTCCCACCGCCGTCCTGGCCACCGCCCTCACCACTGTCCCAACCACCACTGTACCCTCCACTGTCCCACTGTTTCCACCACATTCCCACTGTCCCCACACCACTGTCCCCACCACCACCGTCCCTACCACTGTCCCACTGTCCCCATTGTTCCCACCATTGTCCCCGCTGTCCCCACCACTGCCCCCACCAGTGTGTCAATGTCCCCACTCTCCCCACCATTGTCCCACCACGATCCCACTCTCCCCACTTTCCCCACGCTCCCCACCACTGTCCCACTGTCCCCACTGTACCCACTAATTACTGTCCCACTGTCCCCGCCGCTGTCCCACTGTGTTGTCCCAGCGTCCCCACTGTCCCCATCACTGTCCCACTGTCCCCACTGTTCCCACCACTTTCCCCACCGTGCTACTGTCCCACCACTGTCCTCACCACCGCCTTCACCACTGTCCCCACCACTACCGTCCCCACCACTGTCCCACTGTCCCCACCAGTGTCCCGCTGTCCCCTCGCCACTGTCCCCAACACCACCGTCCCCACCACTGTCCGCACCCCCCCCCGGGTTTTCGAGGGAGGGAGGTGGGTTCGAACCGGTAGTGACCCCCCCCGGTTTTCAAGGAGGGGGGGGGGGGTTCGAACCGGTAGTCCCCCCCCCCCCTTTCATGATGGACTGGGGGGGGGGGTCGAACCGGTAGAGAGCCCCCGGTTTTCCGCCAGCAGCGGTAGAACAGGAGAAGCTTGCGAGTGCTTCCTTGCGCTGGTGGGCTCAAGTATCGGGTCCCGAGAGATGGGGCCCCAGGGATGGGGAAGGAATCCCAGGCTGAGTCTCCACTGGTGGAGACCACTCGATCTCAGGGCCCCATCACTCAGGGCCCCATCCTCCACCTCTGACCAGAATAGAACAGGTTCGTCCAATTGTGTGGTTCGTTCGCAAGGCCGCTCGACCCTTTGGCCAACTGCGCGGCGCCCTCTGCGCGAACGCCGCACGGCGACGGCAGCGACGGCGGCAGCGACGACGGCGGCGACGGCGGCGACGACGGCGGGGGCTGCGACGGCGACGGCGAGGAGGGGCGGACGGCGGCGGGGCCTGCACGGGACGCGCAGCTGCCGAGGTGGCGCCTGGTGGGGGCGCCATCGGGGAGGAATCCTCCTCCTCCTCCTCCTCCTCCTCCTCCTCCTCCTCTCTCCTCCCTCCTCCTCCTCCTCCTCCTCCGTTCCTCCTCCTCCTCCTCCTCCTCCTCCTCCTCCTCCCTCCTCCTCCTCCTCCTCCTCCTCCCGTTTCTCCTCCTCCTCCTCCTCCTCCTCCTCCTCCTCCTCGTTCATCTTCGTTTCTCCCTCTTCTTCCCCTGCCTCCCTCCTCCGCCTGCCCTCACCATACCTCCCCCCTCATCCTCCTTTTCCACATGGACCGTGCTTGACACGAGCACACACCACCCCGTGGACAGGAAGACCTACGATCTCCCACCCAACGCCTCCATGAATGACGCTGCCGAAGCTCACATCATTATGCCGCCCGATGTAACCATTTTCGTCAACACCACCACCGAGAAACTAAAACATACCATCGAGGTGGTAATAAGGGTAGGGGCTGAATGACCAACCAAACACCACCTTACTATCTCTGGTTCGGCCTGGCAGCCGCGGAGCCACCCGCGGCTTACAACCATGCCCGAGGCTGAAGAGAAAGGCCTCTCGGGAAATGCAAAGGCCTGGACCCTACTTACCAGCGGAGCAGGGGTTAGCAGGCGAGGTGACCAGGCCGACAGCCGCAGCCAGGACACCTGGGAGACGGGGGAAGACTGATTGGCCTTCACGTGCAGCCACACCAGCAAAAACACAATTGAGGCTCCAAGCTGTCGTGAACTACTCAGCTGGACAGAGGCGCAACCGCAAGCGATGGACGCCATGCGTGCGAAATGCGTCCACAGCCTGGCGGGAGGCAAGATGATTTGCGATAGGGAGGACGGCGGCTCCAGATGTAAGCACCACAAAGCAGGCACACCGGCACCGACGGCTGGCCGGATGTAATCCAGTTTGCGTGTCCGACGGCTGACATGTTGTCAGCCATGGGCCCGACTCCTGGATGAGCACGATGGCGCTGTGACCGCGCCTCTTGGCACGTCCAAGCTCCGGGTCGCGGGCTGGCTGTAGATCAAGAGTAGGGAAGCGAGCAATGACACGAGCATAAAAACTCTGAGGTCCGCGCGGATTTCTCGGATTCATGCTGGACCCCCCTGGCGGCGCCTCCAGCGCCGCACCTGGCGCGCTCCTCGCGCCAGGGAGGGGGGTCCAGCGCCGATCCGAGACGCGCGGACCCCCGAGTTTTGATGTTTGTATGTCATCCTTCGATCCCCTGCAGAACAGGACCTGCGATGGTAAGGTCACGGAGGGGAGCCCCCCACTAGGGGGCCACATGCGAACCCTACCCCTACCCCCCACGATTTCTGAGGGGGAGGGTGGTGTCTGAGGGGGGAGGGCGAAGTGAACCCCACCCTCCCCCTCAGAAATCGTGCGGGGTGGGGGCAGGGTTCGCACGTGGCCCCCTGCACGCCGCACCACGGCGCGGAGGGCATCCGAGTCTTTATGCCTGTGCCATTCTTCGTCCTCCTAAGGAGCAGGACCTGCGATGGTGGGGTCACGGAGGAGAGCCCGCGCCGCACCACGGAGCAGAGGAGCATCGGGAGGCCCCAGAGGAGCTGGTCGAGGATGGCGGCGGGGAGGCACCCACACCCACACACACACACACACACACACACACACACACACACACACACATATATATATATATATATATATACAGTCGGACCTCGCGCTCCTGGCCCAGGGCCCAGGGACCGGCCCCCGGGGAACGGCAGGCGCGAAGGCTGGGCGCCCAGCCGATATCTTGCTCCAAAGGCCAGAAGGCCGTCGAAGATACGACAGGGAGAGACGAGGAGGAGGACCTCGCGCTCCTGGTCCCAGGAACGACCCGGGGAACGACAGAACACCTGCTAAGGCTCGACGCCGAGCCGATATCCTAGGCAATCGTTCAAAAGGCCAGAAGCCCATCGAGGATCCGACGAGGAGCGAGAGGAAGAGACAGACGTCCACAAGGTCTGCGTCGCTCCCTCCTGGGCCCGGCCACGCGGCGAGCGAGGGACGAGGCAGGCAAGAGGAGGAGCTGTGCGGGAAGCGCTCTCAGACGGCAGCTGCCCTCGCAACGTGCAAGAGGGAGAGCTGTCATGTCCGACACAGAGAAACTGCCACGGTTCTTACTAATCAGTGTCATTGGTGGTGGTCGGCATTCGCAAGTCGCAGGCCAGCAATAGACCATGCAACTCGTGCAACAACGGTCCACGTTGTACACTACGCCGAGCGCAATAGACGGGGTCACCCTGTGCAGGAGATGGGCACCGAGAAACTACCTTGCCGAATTGGCGACCTCTCTGCTGAAACCCGACCAGGCTTTCTCGACCACGTGCGAGAGCATCGCATCGGCCACGAGTCAGTCTTGCATCTGAGAGGCGGCGAGGCCCATGGCGTGGCCCATCAAGCGCACCGTGGACGGACATGCAGACCTCGATCGCAAAGGCAAGAAACATGCGGTAGAGGAACAGTGGAGGCGGGGGCGGCGATCCATGTGGAGGCAGCGCCACGTTCTCAGACCTCGCCGACTGTACCAGAGTATTGCAGCTCACGCTGCGCGACGCCCAGACCATCACGAACGAGTTCTGCGTGGCGGGCATCCAGGACTTGGCCAATCTAGCGGACGTCGCAACCTGTCAAAGCTGCGGCAAACAGAGGACGGGAAGAAGACAAAATGAGGACGGACTCTGGCCGACTCACCCACGCGTAGCAGTGGCGCTCGTGGTCAGTGCCACGGAGCCACTGAAGGAGGGCGACGGGCTGACCAGGAAGCTAGTTGCAGCGGCGGAGCCAATGATTCAGGGATGGTCCGAGGCGGAATGAACGGACTGGCACATCTGACTGCGACGAGTGCTTCCTCGGCTTCCAGATCGGCAAGGCATTCGAGGGCGAGGCGGGCGACAAGAACATCAAGAGGGACACAGTATTGCGAACGATCAACATTGCGACGAACCACCAACACACCTTAAAGGACAACAAATGCCAGGAGGGATTGCGAGACAGACTGATTCATTTCGACTGCTTGGAGCTCAAGAGGACCTCAGGGGGTGGCCATGGTATTCGCCAACACAGAGGAGGGCACGAGCTGAGCTCTCAAAGGCGAAGCCGTGGGGACGTTCGAGCAGAAGCAGACCAGGCTGTGAGCCGCCTCTAGCAGAAAAAGCAACGGTCGGGCATCACTCTCCGACAGCAATTGGCCGCACGGCACGGCAAAGCAGACGGCTCAACTCCCTCCAATGCCGCCAGAATCCCTCAAAATAAATGTATACACGTATGTGTGTACGGATGTATGTATGTATGTGTGTATGTATGTATGCATCTAGATTGCATGTATACGGATACGTGTGCATGCATGTGTGCATGTATGGTTGTGCGTATGTGTGTATGGTTACATGCATGTATGTATGTATGTAAGTATGTATGTGTGTATTTAGGTATGTATGTAGGTAGGTGTGTGAGTGCATTGATGTGTATGCCTGCGTGTGTGTATGAAGGTGTGTATTTATGTATATGTGTATGCGCATATGTATACATGTATGTATGCATGCATGTATGTATATATGTGTATGGTGGTATGTATGTATGCGTATATGTATGCGTGTGTGCGTGTGTGTGCATGTGCATGTGTATGTGTGTATGTGTGTATGTGTGTGGATGTGCATGTATGTATGTATGTATGACTGTATGTGTGTGTGCGTGTGTGTATGTATGCATGCATGCATGTGTGTATGTATGTGTATATGTATGTGTAAGCATGCATGTTTGTGTGTATGTATGTGTGTACGCTTGTATGTATGTATGTGTGTATGCATGTATGCATGTATGTCGGTATGCATGTATGCATGTATGCATGTATGCATGTATGCATGTATGCATGTCTGTCTGTCTGTCTGTCTGTCTGTCTGTCTGTCTGTCTGTATGTATGTACGTATGTATGTATGTATGTATGTATGTATGTATGGATGTATGTATGTATGTATGTATGCGTGTATGGATGGTAACACGCGTACATGTATGTGTATGTACATGTGTGTGTATGTGGATGTATGTATGTATATACATACATATGGATGGAAGGGTGGACGTATGTATGTATGTATGCTTGTATGTATGCATGTATGTATGTATGTGTGTATGGATGTGTAGGTGTATGTGTATGTGTATGTGTATGTGTATGTGTGTGTATGTGTATGTGTATGTGTATGTGTATGTGTATATACAGATATGGAAGTCGAGGAAATTTGCACAGGCTGAGCAGCTACCCGGGCAGAACGAAAACAAGCGGAGAAAGGGGGCCGAGGCCTTGAGATCTGCCAGCTTGCCCCAGAATGCAGGGTGCCCGCGAGGAAAGGCATCGGGCGACCCAGGAGGCCACCGTAGTCCGAGGTCCCAGGGTCCGCAGTAGCTGGCAGCCCTGAGAGCTCCCGACAGCCACTAACGACGGCAGCAGGCCACTGTCTTAGCGGGGTCGAATGGGAGTATTTACGGCACCTCGACTAGAGTTGGCGGCGAGCGAGGGGGGAAGTGAGAAGGAGAACGCCTTCTCAGAAGGTTCGGAAGTCCCCCAACCTTCTGAAAAGTTGTCTAAGCCTTCCCTGAGGACAAGAAAACCGTCTCAGAGGGCGCGAGGGCTTCTGAGAAGTCCCGCCGTCTTCTGAGAAGGCTTCTCCTTCTCACTTCCCCCCTCGCTCGCCGCCGCTAGAGGCTATCAAACGGTGCCAGTGAAGTCCTACTCTGGGTCATATCTCCCACGTCCTACTATGGGTCGAGCAGTCTTACGATGCATCAGGAGGCTGTCAGAAGCGCTCTCTATGCCCTCGACATTTGACGACGAATTGGTCCTAAGCCCGCTCAGGCACTGGGACTTTGACTTTGACTTCAACGGTGCCGCTCCAGCTGTAAGTAAGGACGGGGAAGAAGCGCCAGTCACGATGACAGGAATGGCGGCCTTGCTTCAGAAACGGTACGCCCCTGTGACATCAGCTGCCAATGAT